TCGGTGTCAAGTTCATCACTTTCAAAATTCTACATTAAAGGAGCATTCGCTTATGTATTGTAATAAGTCCGGTGTTTAAAAAGACCAATTATGGCTTTGTTGCGTCCTTTGTTATGACGTCTATCGGCGTGCGTAGCGATATGTTCACGTTTGAAAGCCTCGCTGTGATTCGCTGCGAGTAGCCTGTTCTCATGGTGGGAGCGCGAACGATGACAAGCCGAGAATCGCGTGACATCATTCTGACATTTGAATACAGTACATGATTAGGATAAAAGGGCTCTCTAAAGACCGAACTGTGGATTTCTTTCTTTCGTATCACCACTATATTTCTAAAAGACTGATTTATTATGAGTCACAGTGCGAAAAGAACAGTTGGAATATTTATCTGTTAATTTGTGGATAATTATTTGTATAGGACAATTTATGCCAACGTAATATTACATTGTTAAACTTATGTTGCAGTAGCTTATAATTTTACCTCTGTTCGAATTCGAAAAAGGATTTTGCAACTCTTAAATCCAAATTAGGCTAATTTTCTCATCTAGCTTCACATCGTTTTCATTATTTTCAAGCATTTTGGTCATTTTCATTACCCAATTTAGCCTTGACATAAACTGTAACTGAAAAATCAATAACACGAATAAAATAATAATACTTTGATTTGATATCTCATGGTCAATGAAAAAAAGTCTTTTAAAAACATTATAGCAACTAAAACGTTTGCTATTCCCCAAGTTAAGGATTTTTTTTTAAATTTCTTTATGTTAATAGGTCAACATTTAATGTTAGCTTTCATAAATGATTAGGCATTGTACAAATCTAACAATAATTAGATACTTACTTTTTCTAAAAAAAAAACAGTATTGAATTTATTCTTTGAACATGGAACGGCGTGTCAGAGCACAAAACTGCTGACCTGAAAGTCTCGAGTTAGGATTACGGCATCATCATGGACTCTGATAACCGAATCATATTAGGGGTGGGGGGGGGGTGCATAGATGTCCGGGAACAAGATTAACTTTAATCATCTACACCAGGTTAAAAAGCGTTTTGATCACTTGCAAACAGTGTTTCTTTCAAGCATCTCTTCGAGAGGGGGGGGGGGCTGTGGCTATGCCCCCCCCCTCCACGAAGAGAGTCTACCGCCACCCCCCGAACGAAATGGAATTTATATAGAAAATAAATACTTTTAACATTATTCCCTCCTCTCCCTCCCCCCCCCCCTCCCCTGAGAAAAAAGTCTGGAAGAAACACTGCTTACAAATCCATCTTTCTAAATAAAAGACGCGACTAAAATATTTGCTTGTAACAAAATTAACTTAATTCCGCTAATATTGCCAAGGTCTCTCTACACACGCTCTCAGCCCTAAACTAACCTTGCATAACATCAGGTCACCTGATATATCGAGTCATCATTGGCGGATGATATCTTCCAGTTTTTTTATGTTGCCTAGTTGTCTTTAAATTTTAATTGCTAATTTAATTTCTAATTAGATAGAAAATAAGATTTTATTGGATTAATCTCTCTTCTTCTTTTTCTTCGTTCTTAATTTTTTAATGTTAGAAGGGTTTCTCTCCAACACAATTGAACGTTATGCCCCTGTTATGCCCCATATAGGCCGTTGACTCCGATTTGAGCATACTTCTCTTTTTGAAAAAAACCAAAAACAAACTATAAGGCAGCTGTTGTTTTTTCATTTTGAAGTTGTTTCTCCTAGAAGAGTTGCTGCCCCCAGCTATCGAGCCCCATCTACCCTGGGGTTCCGAACTCGAGACTTATCGGTTTAGCAACCATGAGCTTAACCGACTCGATCACGCTGACCCCAAATTGAAGATGGAAAGATATTTAGAAAAATGATTTAAAAAATTAATGTGCAAATAGTGAACACAAACCCACCCATACAGTAACAGACATTGCGACAGTTGATTTAAATAATTCAATATTAAAAAAGTATATTTTAGTTTTAGCATGTTTTTGACATAGGAGAGATGAGAGAATCGTATTCTTGTGTATGGCGTCATTCATAAATGGCATCATGCTTTTTTTTGACGATATTTAGAACCCCCCCCCCCCCTCGTCATAAAAAGTCAGCCCCATCCTAAAATGACGTCACACCTAAGGCCACCCCTCCCCCAATTATACTTTGAGCTCGGTCAACATTCAGTATTTTAATCAGTTTATATTGACTATTTATAAAAAAATATAAACAAATAATTGATAACCTAATAACGCGAAAAAAAAATCGTCAAACCTTGTGAGGTTTTGTCATGAAATCTGACCCTCCCCCCCCCCCCCCCCCCCCAGAAGAGTGTGTCGTCTATGGACCAGACCCCCATGGAAAGAAATGCATTAATGGTTGAGGCAAAGCTCTTCGACAAAAAAAATTTCATCTCGCCGTATCAAATTTATTAGTTATTATATTAGTAAATATAGTTGTCTTCAAACGTCTAATTTAATTTCTGAAAGACCAGATTTCATCGGAAATGAATTTTCTGCATTGATTAAAGTAGAACAACCCACCAACTATACATCGTGAACTAAGCAATAACGTATAGTAAATACGATTTTTTGTGATTTTTTTCTGTTGAAAATATTAACTAAAAAATAGCCGAAAGTATTGATACTTTAAATCAGAGGAAATTAGGCAATATCACATCCCTAACATAATCCCATAAATGATCTTCCAGTTCCAGATTCGTTGGTAAAACACAGCAAGCAGTATCTACTTATAGGTAAAAGAACTGCAGACTTCCGTATGAAGATACTATCAGATGGCTAGGTATTAGTTAGCAAACACTTGCGAAAATATTAAACACCACCAATCAAACAGCCACAACAAATAAAGCAATCACACTTAATTTAATTAACACGACTAGACAAAGAACAGAAGACGAAAACAGACTAGTAGCAATGGCTGTTTATAGATCGACTATATGGCAAATTAGGAATAAAGTCAGATATTTTTTCACAAAATACACGGACATCGAGTTAAAAGAAATATTTCAAGCAAAGCTAAGACATAGACTGGGAACTCTCACTTAACTGAGAAAAAAAAGAAATATACAGGAAAGAAATAAATAAAGTATTAATTTTAATTTAGACAGTCTCAAGCCAAACATCACTCGATCAGCCCCCAAGTAAATTAACATTAGAACAGTCTTCTGTTTCCCGGGTTTTAAAATGCACAACCTGAATGGTAGAAAGAGATACCCACCTCAACCCCCCCCCCAACACACACACTCCCCCCCCCCCCCCACACTCAACCGGACTGGCGGACATTTTAAGGTAGCGTGCCCTCATTGCCAAGGGTCAATTTTATGTCATGGAAAGTTTTGGAATGATAGATCAGTACGTGATTACAGAGACCCTTCTCCTACAGTCGTTTCTATTTCTGTCCATGGGTGGCTACAGTGTGAACTTTTGACTCCGCAGCACACTAAACTAAGCAGTGAAGAGAAACCTAGTTTGCACACCTTATTTTAATCTAGTTCTTATGCCATTTTATTTTTTCCCTTTGATTATTATATATGCAATTGATGTTCATTGTTCATGTCTTTGATGCTACGTAAAATCTATCAAATATATTATTATTACTGATTTAAATGTTTAAAACAATTGAATTAATAAAAATAAAAATAAATAAAAAATCTACCCCCTCCTCTCTCCCCCTCTATCCACTTTACCCCCAGACATGATAACCCCACAATCCCTTTAACTGTTCCAACGACCCCACCACCCACCGCAACATCAATATCCAGAACTTATTTAAAGTTCTAAATCTTGTCTCTTTCCCCTCATCTTTCACACTGCAACCTTTTGAAAACTCAATGCGACCACTACAACACCCTTTCAACTAGTCAACTTAAGTTGTTTCCCTACATAGAAAATGCTTCACTGTCCCATTGACCCTCTCTGAAAAATTTCCTTTCCTCTCCCCACCCAGACTTCTGACACTTTCATTTGACCTTCACCCCTTTTACTGTCATCCTTTGCAATTTTTTTTTTTTTTATAATCAAAAACATGACATCATGTAAATATTCATTATGTACATTTGCAAAACCTTTCGTTTTCATTTGGTGTTCAAAATTATGTTAAAAAATTTGATGTTGATGTACTTGTTTTAATTGAAAATAAAAGTATTAAAAAAAAAAAAAAAAAATTTATATCTAAGCACAAGGTTCGAGAGATTTTAGTTTGACTAAATTAATTGGTATAATATAAAAAAAAAAAAAAAAAGTAAATCACTAACAAGCATCGTAAGGCAGTCGACTAAAATAGAAGACCCAAACAAGGATACAATAAATGGCGAGTGTGAACCCACCTGGAGAGAATGATCCAGTGTAGAGTATTCAGGGTAGGGGGACCACATTAGTTGGGACAGATGTATGGTGTTTTGTATTAGATAGGAATAATTTGCAATTTGTATCCACATCCCCGTTTCAAAGAATTGTAGGCCCTAAGCCTGTACTATAGTTTGTTAGTAATTCTATATAAGCATTAAAATAGTCAATGCGAGATTTTTAACATGGTTATCCTGCTTGCTACTCCACGGTCGCACTTTAATTTTAAGATAATGTTCAAGTCAGAATTTCATGTAGCTAAAACTAAAAGCATTTTATATAGGTTTACAAAAAAAGGGAATTTGTTTAAAACTTAGTCCGAATCTTTCAGGTTTTTTACAAAAAAAGGGAATTTGTTTAAAACTTAGTCCGAATCTTTCAGGTTTTTTTTAAATTTAGCTTGTAATGCATGGAAGAGAATAATTTGACGTTCAAACTACCACACATACTAGCGCCAAGTGTTTTCAATGCTGCATACAATAATTGAAGAAATGAAAATTGAGTTAGAGAATGCTGCTGTTACTTTACAGTATAATTTGAAAGATTATTCAAGCACTAGTAATTTTTAATAAGTGAGGTGATGTACACGTGATTAGTAATAGGTATACGAATATCAACACTAAGGCCTACAGAAGTACACAAAACAAACATGTCAAAATAAGGTTGTTAATCTCAAAACACTTTTATTATTTCAAAATGAAACAGAAATTATGTCTCCAAATACTAAGGAGAAACAACAATAATCAAATCTACAGAAATGATTATGGTGAAAAGGGGCAAACAAAACTAGAACTGTAATCTTCATACTGAATCAACTCTGAATAATGAAACAAAAATTTAGAACAGTTTAAGATGCAAGATTATGGGAGAGCAAGTACTTTTAAGATGGACATACAAAATCACAACCACAAATCAAACTCAAAATTATTGCTAACAATACATAACAGCTTTTTCTAAAACAAAAGAAAATGAAACGTGAATGTAACTGTTAGTAAAAAAAACAAAACTGCATACATTTGTTGATTGAAAAAACAACATTCAACCAAGATAAAAAAATATTAACCTGAAACATTCACGGTAGAAAAAATTACTATTTCTATGTGCTTTCAAAGCATGCATTCAATGCTTAGCAGCCCACAGGAATTCCACTTTACTTCAGTGTACACACATTGATAAAGATGGATGTTAAAAGCAGATAAAAATACAGATTTTCTGCAGCAAATTGTAGAATCATTAAAAACATCCTTGGCATTTTCAAGGAAGGAAACCAATAATAATTAGTTTGAGAGCTTGTCTCAATGCAAACATTAGCAAAAACTATGATTGTCAAAACTTAAACAAACAATACTAATCAATGAACAAAAAATCTAGAATGCTAAAATTCTTTAACCTTTAGTAGTAAATGGTGAAAGATTAGTATGAAGATTATGAAACTCAACAGGATGTGTTATTTACAAAATTTACAACTACACACGGGTATGACAAAAAACAGGCCACAATTCTACATTCCACTTATAAGTTGATACAATGGCAGTTAATATTGAAATGTGCTTGGTATACTTTATTTTTAAATTAAGTAAAAAAACAAACAAACCCCATACTATATCTAATGCCTGCTCATGAGTTCTGAAAAACCTATACCATAATGCAAGCTTCTAATAAACCTCATGTCCAATTTATAAAAAGTTATAAAAGCAACATAGAGTAGTAGTACAATAGATTGACTGCACTAATTATTTTAGAACAAACAAATTTTTAACCTATTTCCTTGTATTTGCTAAAGATCATGATTGCTCTGTGTTGGGTGATATATGTGTTCTAATGTGCTGTAGTAAAAATTTTGAAGACCACACAAAACAGAGCAAGACTACAATGACAAATATAAGAAAATAACCAACATTTGATTCAGCACAACTCATAGTGCTGTAGGTGAGTTGTGCTGTGACAAATAAAGGACAATTGATCTGTCGTTGCAAGCAGGTATGCAAGTACTATATTTAAATTTATTATATGGTTAGAAAAAAAAAAAACGCACAGTACTGAAGTCTGGAAAATATTATAAATAGCTTTCCACCAAGTTATGTCCCTGTGCAATACTTTTTATCTCATACTAAAGCACTTATATTTTGATTCACAGTTATAAAGTGGAATGGATGATGACTGAACATGAAGGTAATAAACCTGCATTAATGAATATTGGTGTATAAAAAAAGGCAAGCTTCAATGGGGTAATTTTAACGGATTTAATAATAGTTAACTGTAGACAAAACACAGAAAATTACTTTGTTCAAAATCAATCACTTCAAAGATTAAATGGGCTTTTAACTAAAGTCCTAAGGTACATACTTGGTTAAATAAAAACACAGACAACAGCTGAAAGACAACTTCATTTAAAGTAATATTATATGACAAATGATAATCTTAAGCTTGTTAGATTACAGCGTAATATTCACATCTTTTTGTACACCATAGCTACTAAATATTAAGATACTGTTGCAACAAACAATAAATATTGCTGGATCAAAATTTGTAATACATTATGTGGATTTTTAAAAATATTTTTAACATTTAAATGCATTTCACTAAAGAAGTTTTATAAATTCAATTTTTTTTGGGCCTAAAGTATTGTAAAAGAAAACAAAAATATTCAACCAAGAAATGATACCCAACCTTTGAAGAAGTAAACCATCAAAGCAAAAGAAATGTTTTGCAATTCATCAAGGGTTCTCAAAACATGTCTTTTTGCAGTTAGAAAAATATAAATAGGAAACTTTTTAGAAAGAAAAAAAAAACCTTTACAACCCTTTGTTAAAATGTTAAGATGAGACTCTCTGCTTTAGAACCCATGAAAAAAACAAAAACTCTGGTCTAATGTAACACTGATAAGTACACCATGGCAATGTTAACTTTAAACAATAAAAATACCAAAGCTTATGTAGTCATTATTTTTCTTACAAACCACCAGGCAGTAGTGAGAAGTAAGGAATAATGTCTTCATTATTTTATAAATTTAGTGTTTAAGTTAACTAAAATGCCTAAAATATTAAAAACATGCCGTTGTCTATTTAGAGATGTCTTTCTTCATTCCAGAACTCGATCTTGTGAGTAGTTCCTTTTTCAGTTGTGGTCTACACATATAGAAAAATAACATTAGAAACAGTTGGAAATCTCAAGACTTAAATACATTTGATTAATATTAATACATAATAACTTCAAGTCTTTTAAACGTGTGAAGTACTTGATAAAATTAATGGAATATTCAATTGCATATCTGGCCAGTTTTATACAGAGTGAAATGAACATGAATTAATGATATTAATTACAATTTTTTATCAACCCTTGGATATGGATTTCACTTATTACTGGAAAGCATTTTGAATTAGAAACTGCTTTATTTAATAAATATAACTGGCAGACTGGGGTCACATTATGGGGATATAATTAGATTGTTAAAAAGACCAGTATTTACCCATCTCCACCAGGATGAATATCTTTAACTTTAGCAAGTAAAACTTTGAGAGCATCCAAAGCAGCCATATCCCTAGAAGACTCCAGAGTGTTGCTACTTCCATGAAAGCTTTGAGACTGTTCTTTACCAATAATGATCCTTGTTATGTGCTCTGTTCCAGTTGGCTTTTTCTGATTAAGAAAAAGAAAAGGAGATATAGAATTTATTTGCAGTTAAAAAAGTAAAGTTGCAAATGCAAATAATTTAAATAATTGTAACTGCTCATTATCTAAAACTATTTTGATCAAGAGGAACATATTGGTAAGGAAATTGAATTATTTTTATAGTTTATTAATAAGGATAGTAAATATAAAAATGATGAAGTGGTTCAAGAGTAATTTAAACTTTTCAATTATTTACCTTTGTAAAATCATCAATCTCTATTTCATGACCAAGTGCTTTACAGAGCTCTTTTAACTGTATTTCTGGTCTTAAATTAGGTTTGAGAATACTGGCTAAGTTGACTAGGGATTCTTTAGGCTGTGCAAGAGCAGTAGTTGCAGAAGCTGTAAATCAAATATTTTGTCTATAAATGCCAGTTTAAAATGCAACCATCTCACTTAGTTTCAATAATAAAAGCCATCAGTGCCATCTATTTAGACTATTATAAGCCTTTTATGAGAAGACTTACTATACTTTGTAAAAAAAAAAGTCAGCTGCTAAAGTAGATATAGTAAACAAAAAATCAAAACATTCATGCAAGAAAAAAAATTTACCTGCAGAAGTTGTTGCCAATTTACTAGTGCTGTTTGGAAGATGAAGAAGCCCAGGAACTCGCTGCTGTGTAGGTTGTACTGGTGTCGGAGCTTTTTCAACAACATCTGAAGTAGGTATATCACCTTCCACAAATGTTACCTTTTTATCACCATTGCTTTGATTTCCCTTTAAAAAAATATGTTAGTGTTGTGAGATCACTATCAAATAAGTTAAAATAGTTTAGAGACGTAAAACAAAGATAGTTACCTCCCCAGAAGCAGGATGTTTAAATGATGACTTGACAGGCTGAGGGCTAGGTTTAGTGTATCCCAAAAGCTGCAACATTGCTTCAGCAGCAGATCTCTTGGCAAGTTTTTTATTAGGGCCAGTACCAGTACAATTTTTGTCTTCAACTTCAACCTATGAAGTAAAAGCAACATTTTAAAGGTTAAAAGAAAAATTATTCACACCTCAAGTCCCTTTGGGTAGACCTATCTGTAATTTATAAGTAAATAAGAAATGAAAAAGTGTATTTTCATCTAGTAAAAGAAATTCGGTAATGCTCCAGACATTTTTGGAAAAATGCCAGATTTAAAACTGGTATTGTTTAAAAAAACAAAAGGAAAGAAGAGTACTTTCATTTTTAATACAGTATAACCTAAAGCAATTTTCCTACCACCCCCCCCCCCCCTCCTCCAAATTTTCTGTAACATTTAAAAAACCAAACTAATTGGTAAATTAACTTTTTTTGTATTGCTTTTAAACAAAATGAAATTGATGAATTGTGATTGCATCCGCACAAAAATATTTTTGTTGTTGAAATATCACATATTTGCAACAGGAGCACAACTGTGGACCATTTTACCAGACATATTTAACCATTAGCTGTGTGGTATAAAAACAATATTTGTAATATATCCAGTACAAACAATAAATAAAAATATTATCAAACCAAGAAAACTGAATTAAATGATCAAACTATTATTTCAATAAAGAATGTATTTGAAATGCTAAAAACTGGAACTACCATCTTTTAAAATAAATATAACTTAAGCGCAAAAGATGACCAAACACCAGAGGCATCTCAGTCTTAATCTTACTAATTATATTTATAATTACCTGTAAATTTAACAATCTTAACTTTAAAAAATTCACTTTTAAAAGCTAAACTTTGTCCAGTTGAATGTATTAATTAAGCATTGACAAGTGTACTAGACAAAGGGTTAGGTCTGAAATATGCTAACCTGCATAATGAATTCTCTTCTTCTGGGCAACCCTCTTTCTGCTATCAAGGTATACACAGGTTCCTTCTTCTTTTGAGCTTGCATAATCTGAATAAGTCTGCTGATTGGATTGATGCCAACTCCATAGTTTGGATCTGCTTTTTGTTGCTGAAGCTCAGACTAAAATATTTTAAAAGTTTCATTATTTTATTGATTACAGATGCAAAAATTCATTTTTGGATATTCAAACATTTATTTGTATTACCTTAATAAGATTCCTGTTTTTCTTTTTGTTTATTTGAATTTTTGACTTTGGTCGAGGATAAACAGGTGTAGGAGTAGGTGGAAGTTTTCTTAGTTCTTCTAACATTAATTCTGCAGCTTTCTTTTTGGATGTCTTTTTACTGTTTCCTTCTCCTTCTGTAACTTTTTCACCTACTATACACCGTGTTATAAAGTTCTTCATGTGAGGTGGGCCAGCTTCTCGAATCACCTTCAATATTTTAAAAATTGAAAATCAAAACTAGAAACCATTAGCGTATAAATTTTCTTGAATTTAACAATTATTAATTCAAATGGAAAACAAGCCTATGTAAAACTACTAAAATAAGCTAAATATATATTAAACATTTTTCTAAGTAAAAGAAAATCCAGCTAACCTCAAAATTGACAGGCATGTTTCTTCGCAGAGCAATTTCATGAACCAAGCTGATTTCTGATTTCAAACTGTCTGTTATTGAAAAAGGTTTATATTTAAATAAATTACTTGGTAAGAAAAAAAAAAAAACATCTATAAAAATAGGAGCTTTTGTTTAGCAATTATTCTCAACCTTAAAATATTTACTGCCATATACAAAATGTAAGTGGCTTACATTTGGGCTTTCTAGTTGTAATAATGTCATTTCAATTACCATTTGTTTCCTCTTCAGCTGGTTCTTGATCTTTTTTAGCTTCTATCTGTACAGGCAGGTTTTTAAGGATGCGCAGGGCCTTCTGTGCTGCATTGTGACGTGCCGCTTGCCTTGTAGGGCCATCTCCTATAAACTCACGATGGCCTACACGCAAAGAGACATAAAATGCACGACTCATACGAGGATAATGGTATCTCAGGGGCCAGAGCACACCACTACCACGGTAACGAGGATCTCTGTTAGCTCGCATGTACTGCTGATATCTTAAAATTAAAACAAAAGAAAAATTAGTATTATAATTAAACAGAATTTTACTAGGCCTACAGAATGTAAGTGAAAAGTAATGATGTAACTTTACCTCTGGTTGTAGTTATATATTCCCCTATAATCCATTCCTGGCTGAGGATAATATGAAGGCTGCTGTGGCTCAATTGCCTTGTAGATCGCAGCTTCCCCTCGTTTCATTGCAAGAGCATTTAGTTCAACAGTAGGTGTAATATTTTCATCTAAATATATATTTAAGCGCATTAAAATTACAGAAATGGGAAAATAAGTATACAATAAAGTAGTAAATTAACTATCAGAAGTAAGTTTACCCCCACTATCCACACTGTTGCTACTGCTGTATCTTGTTGGTTTAGGAGGTGGATGCTGGTGTTTTGTTTCAACTAAGGCAATAGCAGCTGCAGCATGCTGAGCTTTTTTAATACTCTCTCCTGAGGCAGAATATTCCTCATCACCAAGCTTCAATTTTACATAGAAAGTTTTCTTATGGGCAGGGCCCTGCTCATCCACCAGCGTGTACTGATGGCTCATCTGAAGAATAAAATTTGTAACGGTACAAATTTCAAAATAATCACGAAGTGGACCATGTGACTGTTACTAAAATTAGCAAACAAACCTTGTTAAATCTTGCTAATTCATTTATAAGACACATAGGGGTTTTCTCTTTTGTGTTTGCCAAGCCAAGCGTCTCAGCCGCATTATTTTTTGATTGTTCTGATTCCTCATTACTTAACTTTACTTCAACCTGGAATAAAGAAAAACAACTAAAGAAACAAGAAAAAACTGCTGGCAAGTTATGTTTATAAAAATACCAGAGCATTTTAAACAAATCCAAACACCTTTGAATTTTTAAAACTCTAAAACAAAAAAAATAATTCACATACCTTATCATTAACATTTTTATTTTCAGCTATGGAAGGTGTATTATTAATCACAGCAGGTTTTGTTCCTTGTTGCACTTGAATGGTTGAGGGTGTTGTCACATGATTTAAATTGGACTTTGAAGGATGTTGCAAAATTTGCTTAGGCTGAATCTGTTGTGATTGCTGCTGCTTGTGGTAGCGTTGCTGGTGAAGACTTCGTTGTTGTAAGTGCTGCTGGATTTGTATGTGTTGTTGCTGTTGATAATTTGATGACTGATGTTGGGCTATAGGTTGCTGCTGAATTTGAATCTGTTGCTGTTGTGGAAGCAAATGGTGGTGTTGTGGGACTGTTTGATGAATATGATGTGGCTGTTGTGGCTGTGACAACTGAGTGGGTTGAAAATGCTGTACAGGAGTTTGAATTGATTGTTGTTGGGGTTGCTGATACTGATGATGTGAAGACTGATGTTGCAAACTTAAAGCATTGTTATCCATTCCATGACTAGAGTGAATGGAAGAACCTAAGAAGAGTAAAAACATGTAATTGAATAATTAAGTACATAAATGTAAAATGAATATCATGATACACACCATAAACTAGTTACAATCTTCCACTTCTGTTACTAACCTCACATAACATATTATATATCTTTTTCTCATATAAATATTTCTAAGTTGTGAGACTCACCAGAAATAGATTGGTAAGTTGTACCATTCTGTGCAGGCATGTTTCCTAAAGCTGGAGTAAACTGATGAGCTGAAGCAATATCTGTTGAAATTTGTTTTTGACCATGATAGTTATTCACCAACTGCTGCTGTTGAAGATGTGTAAGTTGAATATTTTGTGTGGGCTGCAACTGATAGGCTTGCTTAGAAGACATCGCTTGGGAACCTGGCATTAAATAAGATCAAATTTTAAGGAAATGGCCAATATTTCCTCCAATGGAAGAAAAAATTACCTATTGAGATGAACAGTTTTTTCATCAGAAAATAAAAACAAGCTAAGCAATTTTTTTTCAACTTCAGGGCTTACTTATCACACACTCCCAGGTCTGAATAACACACTAAACAAATATCTAGCTTGAGTTTGGTTATGTTTGGCACACATCAATGGGATAATTTAAGGATTATCAATAGCCTAATTTAATTTTATTCTATTTTCATTCTTATACAGAAACTCAGACAATTTTTATAATATTTTTATTTTCAACCCTTATTTACTATAGTGTGGTTTATTGAACAATGCATAATAATTATGTTTATTGAGGTTTAGTTTTTTTTAAAACATTTTTTGTTTAACACACAGCTGATAATTGGAGCTAGGATCAGTGTTGAATTTGTTAGATGGATTAGTGTCATGTAATGGCTGCTGTGATGTTAGTATAAGGTTAGTTTTCTTAACATAATGTGTTAAAGGTTCAGACTGTGCCACTCTTAGGATATCACTATTTCCAACAATAAAGTAAAACTTGAATAGACTATAGGCTGGTACTATAAAATATCTCATAAACAAGACTGCTTGAATAAGTTTATTTAGCAATACTTTCTGACTCGCATTTGGGCAAGTAAAAATCAGTGAAAATATTTTTAAAAATGCAATGTAACTAAAATGCATGTATGCATTAAAACATAATTAGCGAAAAAGTAAAATACAAAATGATGTTATAGCAAGAATACAAACATGCAAATGTTTTTTTTTAAAGTTTCTAATTGTTATTTTTGGCCATTATATCTGATTTCTCTCATATTTATAATGGTCAATACCCACCTCTTTGTTGAGCCATTACATTTCTTTGCTGTGTATTTTGAGCAGCTCCACTTGTATTAATTAAAGAATGCTGTTGCTGATTGCTCATTATATGATTGTGAGACATAATTATACACTATATTTATTTGATGAAACAAATGTATCTTCAAAAAAAAGTAACCTAGCTGAGCTTTTTTTAGTATCCTATCTTGTTAAGGATGAAGAAAAGTCCTATTGGGTTGTAAAGGTTTCATTGAAGTCTGCAAATAAATACATTTTTAAACACTATAACATTAGCTATTTGAAAATTAATTAAGACTTTTATCAACACTAATGCAACCATGGCCAATACTATAATTGTTGCTCAGAAAAAGTATTCACATTAATTTTGATCAATAACAGGATTAACTATAAAATCTTTCATAAACCAACTCCTATCTTTTATTGTCTGGTCTGAATTTTTTTTTATAGAAGACAAACTATATGATAAAACTATGCTTGGACACTTAGCATAATATCACCTATGTAAGAAAAGTAAATAGCTTAAGTAATAATACTGTTTCAAGATTATTGCACATAATTCTACATTATTATTTCACAAGAACTAGCCTCTAAGTGAAAGGTGTGATAATTACATTAACCACAAGTTAACATGCACATTGTTAGTTGAAAAAATGGTTATAAAAAGGTGTGGATTTAGTGCAAAGTCAGAATGATAAGTAAATAAAAATGAAATTAGTGTTAAGCAGCTAGGGTATCTCACTTAAGTTTTCTTTTAAGCTTTATTTAAAATATTTCTTGACTGACTACTCCACTGTATAGATATTTTCATTACATGCATTGTTCAGTATTAACCATTGAATTGAACTCTGATGCTCCTTGCTCTATAGGCCTACATGCGTCCCTCCTTATACTATACTCCAATTATTGGTCAAGTGGTTTAATGACCTTGGACCCAAAGAGTTGTGGCATTGGATGTGTAAGGTTGTAGATACAGCAAGAAAGCTATTTATAGTTAGAGTCAAAGATTTGAACAAGCCTAAACTTTTCTTTATTTACACTATAAAACTTTGATAAAGGTAGCAATATCCCCCACTGACCTTATTACTTGTCAGGTGTTTCAAATGTCAATTTTTTATGACTCAAAAAAAAAAAAAAAAAACTACCGATGGATGTATTTATTCAGGAGAATCAAATGTGTGTAGATCTTGCTTAACAGTAACTTGAGAGTATCCAGACACGGCCAGCATATTCACTATTACTGTATATAAAAACGATATGTAAAAATAATCTGTAGTCAGATTTGAGAAAGAATGACTTGGGTTTCAAATTTTTAACTTTTTAAGAATTGCGTGACTGCTGCAGGGAGTTGTAGATCAGAGAATAGAAGTCTTTACATAAACAGTTTCTGTGACCTCTGCACATGAAGGGATAATGCAATCACCACTACCAGCCATCTTTACTTTTCCACAAGAGCTAGGGGGACTAAGGTACATTCTGTGGACCCAGATTTGACTAGAGTTTCTGGCTAGCAGTCATATGCTGTAACATTCGACCAAGCTACCTCATAAATTTGTGCTTGGCCTGTTATTTTATTCATCCTCATCTCTGCCAATATTGAATTAAGTATACTATTTTATCAAGGTTTTCCTAATCTGCAGCAACACTACAATTACATTATGTTGTCACAGACAAGCTGTGTATGTTGTTAAGGGGATATGCTATGTTTTTTTCTATTTTTTACAATTTAAGATCTAAAGCTTTTTGAATACTTTTATCATATTTGGCATATAAAAGTAATTATTAACCATTAATGTCCCATTCATTCTACCAAAACTCCACCCATGACGGCCCAATGTAAGGAGCATAACTCTGTATGATCAAGTGAATAGTTTCACAAAATATTTGTTTTTGTCTAAATAAAGTTGAAAACTAAGAAAAAAAGTACTGCTTAATGTTGGGAATAAACCTGGCTTTCCAACAGTATTAAATAGAATATATTATATTCGGTACAAGTACAGTATAAAAATAAAAAAATGTCGGAGAATATTCAAAACCGGTCATTTTCGGTAGTCAACTTTATTTATTTTTGTCTAAACAACTATGCATCGAATTTAACAGTTGAATATCAATTTGGTTATGTTTAAGATATATAATTCATAAAATACATGCCTAGATACGTTTAGAGGCATTATTTTATTTTATTTTTAATATTAAATCTACTAAAAATAGGACCGATGAGTCTAAAATTTCGAGATAGAAAGAAACTATTATTTTTTATCTTTCAAAAGCGCCATTGAAATTAGAAGACCGGAAAAGGATGCTGAAACTATCAGACTTCCTGTTTAGTTAAAAATTAGGATTTGTAGGCCAAATTGTAATGAAACAAATGTAATTTTTCTATGCGTATTGTAAGCGGGCGGCAGCGGGCGTTACGGGACATTAACGGTGTCGGGCGGCAGCGGGCGTTACGGGACATTAATGGTTAAACAGCAAAAAAAGGGCCGAAAACAATTTTGGTTGTCATGGAAACCCAAAAAACCTCCGCCATTTTGATTTTTTTGGTTCTTTTAAAAATACTAAGGCTTTTTTATTTATGCACCTATAGCAATCAAATTTAAACTGCTTATATTTCAGTATGTATTAAAACTTTTGTCACGACAACTTTTTGAAATAAATACTAGTAAGAATTTTACAAGGTCTAAAAAATCGTACCCTTTTTAGTATTCAAAAGTTTCAAAATGTGCATATTAATTATCAAATACTTTTTTTCTATGAAAGCAATCACAATTCCCTCGTGACAAAAGTTGTATTTTTGCATAAAGAACATTTACTGAAAATATGGTTGGCATTGTTTAATAAATAAAAAAGTAGTAGGCTTTTTAGTGTTAAAAACCTGTGAACCGAGAAAAACAGCCAAAAGTAACGAAAACTAGGTCAGGAAAGTACCATATCTGTGTAAACTGCAAAGCCGATTGTAAGCTTTAAGTGTTTCCGAGATGTAGGAAATTAAGTTTATTAGATACATGAGAAATCCAGCTTTCCAATGATGTCAAATACAAAATGACCGATATAAAACTTTTCATAGAGAGCTTGTAAGATTGGGAAAAATTGATTATTTTTTAATTAATAGGGTCATAAAAATCATAATTCAAACACATAAAATATTTTTTTCTCTTTAAAGTTATTATTTTCTTTATACACAAATGGAAAAAGTATCCAAAAGTGCAAGAAACCCATCATGACGAAAAACAAGAAATTGTGATTTTTTTTCCTCGCATACCCCCTTAAAGACAAGCTGAGAATGATCCCAATTGAAAAGACATTTTAGCACCCTAAATTAATTAATTAATTTTCATTAACTTTATTTTTTTTTAGTGAAAATTCCTAAAATTGAAACCACTTTACTGAGTAGCATAAGTTATTCAGCTGGATGTAAAATTACACAAAAATAACGATTTTAAGTAGCCTATATATTTCTGAGATGACCATGAAAGATTGTTAAAAAACTGAATCACTGTAACGTTGTTTTTGGTGGCCATAATTTGTTTTTGTCAGCCATCACGCCGGTAAAAATGTAGGTCAAGCGACAGTCTAACTTATAGCTAACCTAGTTATAAAAAGCTTTGATTGGTTTTATTCGTCTCAACTGGGACCTAGTGCTTTTCATCCGGGGGACTAGATCTAGAATCGCCTGCGACGTCATACCTTGAAACTTAAAAAATTTAAAACCTAGTCTTCCAGAAGGAGAAAACAAAAGAATTTTACCTGGATATATTTAGAAATGTACATGCGACAACAGATATCAGTAGTTTTGTAATAAACATCCAAACAATTAGGCCTACTATAACTATAGTAACTATAGGAAGCGATAAACAGGGCCAGGGGAATAGCTGCAGCTGAGCTTTAACCACTGGATGATCTTTAATATTTAATCTAGATCTAGAATTCTAGAGGAGTCTAGATCTAGATCTAGATTTCTACCTTAAACGATAGATTACCAAAGTGGGTGAAACTCGGTTGTGTTTATAGTTTTATAATAAAATAGGCTCAACTGGAGGTGAACGTGAAGCAGGGAATAAAATACGCTAAAATCACCAATGGAGTTTTACCCCAAAAAGTGAGTTATGGTCGGAGGTGTTCATATTCGTCACATTCATTACGAGGCGACAGAGCTACTCTAGACCTAATCTAGATTCTAGATTAGAAAAAGTCTTGAAGACTAGATTCTGCTAAATCTTAAGAACTTAATAAAAATTTTAAAAATTTAAGTTGGGATGGAATTGGAATGCACGTGCAATTTGATACCTCGTTAAAATATGAAACAACAACAAATCGTAAAATATATTTCATTGAAAAAGATACATACCTCATTAATGCATCAAAATAAACTACTTTACTCCTGAAATAATGCACCTAAGAGCTATGATATTTTGGCAAACAGTAAAGAAAATTATCAGACTAACATGCAGCCATGTTTGTCTGCCCGGTGACGTTCTAGTGTTGAAATCTCGTGCTTTCCGTTTTAATTTCAATTATGAAATAATTCTTTATTTTTTCAAAAGACATACAATTTTAACAATAGACTGCTAAAATATGGGTATTGCAATTACAAACAACAAATAAAAAATAATTATCAAATCACTTAAATACTTATCCACAGCAACCCGTTTGTGTAAAGATGGCGTACGATGTTGGGTTCATTTTTCATCTTACTACCATTTGCAATGGATTATAGAGTCTAGATCTAGATCTAGTTACTACTACTTCCATTAACACTGTCTATTAAACGTAAAACTAATAGAATCCAATTGAAAGCTTAAATACAAACATTTCTTATCAAGAATCTCTCTAAAATGTCTATGATAGCGAAAAATCGCATCCATAGTACCTGGACACCATTGAGCAATGAAGAAGCCAACACAAAGGTAGATTAAAATACTTAGATATAGGTATATTTTTAATAATATATTATATACTTATATATTATAGTTTATAATACTATTTTAATACTTACAGAGCAATTAAGAAGCCAACACAAAGGTAGATTCAAGATTGAATTATCTAGTTGTTAAATATCTAGATCTAGGTCTACTTCTAATAAAATAAATAAAACAGTCTAACTCTAATGCAGTGGTTCTTAACCTGGGTTTGATTGAACCCCAAGTGTTTGGTGAGTCAGTCTCAGGGGTTCGGTGGAGATCAAGTTCATATTATTCATGATTGGATTTTGTCAGTGCAGACAATAGAACTATTAAGAAGAGTTATGTGAATGCTCATGTGAAACTGTTGGGTTTCGGTACCTACGAACAGTTTAAGAAGCACTGATCTATTGGGTTTTGGTAAAATGCACAACAGTAAATGGTGAGGGGGTAAAATGCAAGAAGGAAATCTGAGTAAATAGCAAGACACAATTTGCAAGACTTTTTTATTGTCATGCTTGGTTAAATAATTAAGAAATATTTTAATTAACAATCTACTTTTCTCTAACATTAACATTTGTTTTTTTTTTTCAGATATTTGAAGAAAGAAAAAATCTTGTTGGCAAATGGGTAAATGCTCTGTATTTTAAAATAGCATGCATTAACTATTATTACTTAGCGTTTATCTAATCAGAATAAAATACATCCATAAATTTTATTATTCCAGCTAGTGGGGGCAAATGAAGTAGAATTCTTATGTTTCTTGACCTCAGCATATAAGGAATTGTGTGGTCAGCTGCTTTTACTTTCCCCAATGTAAGTCAAATACTCATCAGAGCTGGGTGGACTCATAAACATCCAAGTTCAAAACAGATCAGAACTCTAGACCTTCCGACTAGCTGCCAAACGCTCAACCATTCAACCCTGCCGTCCCTAGTACTTCAGAAACTTCAGAAATATGTTGATAAGTTTCATCTTCATAGTAATCAAAGTTTAATTTAGTTATAATTGATGGTTGTTCTACTGAATTATTTAAATAGGAGCATTATGTAGTAGTTGAAATGATCTTCTAAAACTAGTGCTTAACATATTTTAAAATGCAAAGCTTTTCATGTACACGTTTTGTTTGACAGTTTCAAAAATGGAATGATGATCAAAGAAGGCAACTTTTTGAAGAGCTGGTTGGGATCAGCAAAAGAAAACAATTAGAATATGCCAGAGAGCTGATAGACAGCAGGGTCCCTTGCACGAAGGATGACTTCACTAGATATTTACCCAGGGTGATCACCCTGTACATCTTTTCTTTTCTCGATGCTCGCAGTTTGTGTCAGTGTGCCCAGGTATTGTATATCCTATGACCATACTGATATTATTTTACCAAAATAATTTTATTGGTATTATTATAAAAGTAAAGTTCCCCTTCCAGATGAAGTAGAGTTCATGTGTTGCTTGACCTCGACATATGAAGGGATGGTGTGGTCATTGCTATGCCTAACTGCCTTTACTTTCCCTGACTTGAGTCAGATACCCAATAAGATGGTGGACATCCAGCAGACTCAAATCCGGATTGAGATCCAAACTCTAGACTTTCTGGTTAGAAGTAAAGCACTCTACCACCCCGCTAAAATTTTTATCAATCAACTGATATAATTAATTATAGCTGTGTTTATTAATATAGGACATTATATTTTAAAACACAAATTTTAATTTAACTAAGCTGTCAAATTTTAAAAAAATATGTATTAAAGAATATAGCGGAAATCATATGTTTTAATAGGCCGGATTTCCTGAAACAATTTCACATAAGCATTTAAATGTTAAAAATGTTTTTTGTAGGTGTGTTGGTATTGGAGATATTTAAGTGAGCTGGATCAGTTGTGGATGTCAAAGTGTTTACATTTTGGCTGGAGCCTTACGTTCACTCCTAGTCCTTATGAAAATGGCATATGGAAGAGAAACTTTATTGAACAGTTTAAGATTTTCCAAGCTTTGATGCCAAAGGTGTGTTCAATCAAAACAGTTCTTGTAAAAATGTTGTATTGAGGTGGTCCCAGTTTAGAATTAGGGCCAGATTTGATTTTAAGATAGTGATACTTACAATTAATATTTTGTATACACCCTCCTGATATTTTACCATGTAGGCCTACTTAATACAGTGAAACTGTTAGCTATACACTTTAAACATGATCTTAATAATACAGAAAAATCATGATTTGACTGCCGTAAATATATGATCTGAATCCAGTATATTGTTGTGTGAATAGAATGAACTTGTCTATTCCAGAGCCCCCCTGTGTCTGACATGAGCAAGCTAAAGTTAAAAGAAAAATCAGTAAAGGGAGGTAAGAAGCCCTCTGGTCCTGTTCCATGGAGAGGGTCTGATCCAGTTCCCAAAGACACCTGGAGATACAACTACCTGAACAATGACGAGGTGTTGGACCAAGTAGCGAAGCTGTAAGTTGTGGCTATTATTTCTCTCATGTGTAGTCTGATTTAAAAAAAAAAAGTAAACAGTTTATATTTAAACTTAATCCAACATGAGTTTTGAAAGAATTAAGTTCTCTTTAAGATCTGATGATAGGGAGAGTGTCATAAAAAACTAGACCACCTATTTCTTTGGCTGTGGTGTATAGAAGAATGCTGTGGATAGTACAATACACAGCCCTGTTCATTTCCTGGTTTTACCTGGTTTTTTTTTATTAAGACTGAAGTCTCAGTGATCTAAGTCATTACCTGTTCAGGCTTATGTTCTTTAGCCAGGCAGACTGGAACAGGGTTAAGAACTGAGCATTTTTTTTTAGTTTAGCCAAGTTTTTGCTTCCTCTCTCATTGTATCACATCAACTGGTTTGGACATGGGGGGAAATATGGCCAGGGGCGAGCCCGGGTTTCAAACTCATGACTTTTGTTCATCCACAGTTTACCATACGTGATAATATAATACAAACAAGTTAATAAAAAGTCTAGTGACAATTTAAGCGCAATTTCCTTATGTCATCCATAACAATTTGTAATTTGTAAATTTTTGTAAATATCATCCTATAAATATAAACTCCTACACGATGCTCAGTTTAAATCATCCTAGGCCTACACGATGCTCAGTTTAAATGTTCTTAATTAATTTTTTGTGACCGAACGAAAGGATATTTTTGAAAACTTTCTTCGGCAATATTGTTCTAAATTATGGCAGGAATCGATTGGTAAATGTTTCAAGTCGCTAAGTGGTCTGGTTGCCGAGATATGGAGCAAAAACTGCATTTGTTCGAGGTTTTTTGGCTTTTCCGGGAAATCCAGGAAGGACTTCCGGAAATTTTTTTGGCCCACAATCATCCTTGGAACTTGCTTAACATATTTGCTTTGGAACTAGTCCTCGATATTGCTTCATTGAGGAGGAGACACGACTTAAAGCTGCAGACACACATCCATCCATCCATCCATCCATCCAGAAATGGCGCATTATTAAACGCAATTGCCAGTATGGAAAATGCGCTAAAAAATTATGAAAACCATTCCATTTTGTTTAATTTACTTAAAATAGTTTATTTATTTTTATGCCAATGTACTATTCCTTAGGCGCCAGAGAAAAGCTTATGGATCAACAACAGACGATCTAGTGAAAAAAGCTCGTAGTAAAGTTAATACAGGATCTAATGTGCTAAACTCACTTAGTAGATCACAAAGTTTAACAGTAAGTATGGTTTTTTCCACCTCAATTTCGACACAATTCGAACACCTTATTCTAAAGTTTGGTAGTATTTCTTCATATTTTGAAGGCACATTTTGTTAATTAAACATGATTGTTTTTCAACTCAATACAAAAACGAATATTCTATTGTGGTATGGTATTATTTAAAGCACTTTTTGGTGAGCTAATGATTTTATTTTTCAAGCGGATGAGCTCTGGGATGGAGGAATCTGAGAGGCCCAAGTGGGCGCAGCAAGTGAAGACACAATTTCTACACAAGAACAAAATGAAAGAAAATGGCCTCCTGGCGAAGATCGCACGGCCGGGGCCCGTCAGTCCACCCCCTCGTCTGACCCACTCCAGGCCAACCACATCACGCACTCCCAGGGATCCCCCCAGTAAGTGAAATGTGGTTTTGTTTTTCTTGAAGAAAATGTGATTTTGTTTCTCTTCAAGTGGAGTTGTTTTTGCTTCTCTTTAAGAGAAATTTGTTTGCTTTTTTTCCTCTTAACGGGAAATTTGCTTTTTTGTTTCTTATTATAAATGTTTTAAAATATGTATGAAAAATAATACTTTCAAATTTATAAATATTATAAATTACTATAATGTAGAGCTTAAATTCAAATAAATAAATTTCATTTAGACAAACACTGCACCAACTCATGATAAGTGCCCAACTTTTACAAAAATCTTATTAAGAAACAGTAATTTTTATTATGCATTCTATAAGAAACAACAGATCTAAAAAAAAACAACACCTAGTTGAAACTAACATGAAGTTTTGTTTTTAAAATAGGCACAGAACTTTTCCCTCACACACCGTGGAAGATTCCATCACAGGAAGAAGATTCAGATACTGAGGTGCACTGACCTTCATTGACATGATCCTACTATTTCTAGTGCCCATATTCACATCATATATACCCATAATCTGTCCATTATTTTATTTTGTTTAAAATCCAATATCAAAATAATAATGTATAGAAAAGCTTTATGAATTAAGTAGTATTTGATTTTTAGAATTAATTTGATGAAAAAGTAAGCCTTTTTAAGAGTGAAAAGAATCCATGCCTTTATTACTAACATGGATTAAAAGAATTGTTTCAATCCTTTTTAGATAAATTGTTGTTTTCTCATAAAAATTAAATTGTGCCTTTTTATAAATATTTAAATTTTTAACAAACCTAAAGTATACACATTTTCTTAAATTAACAAATATTCTGTAAATAGAAAATAATTTAAGCAGGAACTTGATCCAAAGCAAAAATTTTTTTGTTCTAATAATTGCTTCATTTTTTTACAGTAATTCTGGTTTACTGTACTTACATACTGTGATGTAACTAAAATTAATATTAATGTTTAAACATTATTGCTCTTTTCAAGTTAGTTGAAATAGTTGATTGTAAGTTCATCCTTCAAAACCATGTTGTTTTCAAATTGTATTCAATTAATTTTGTATATATTGATGGCAATTTGTTTTCCACTGTGCCCATTGCTCTGTTATTTATTTTTATGTCTTCAAAACATTCCTTCAAATTAAATTGTTGGGTAGAGTACTGTAGAGATCACTGATTGTAGACACTATGTTTTTTTTAAACAAATCTTTCTAAAACTAGTTTGTAAGGTTGATTTTGTTTAAAAGCTTTAATGTAAGAAGATAATATTTAAAAAAAATAGGTTTGAAGCTGTCAAAATATTTGTCTATGAATGGTTCAGTTCTAGATAGTGGTAGTATTTTGTATGTGAAAATTTTATAACATTTTTGTTCATATACATATTGTGATGTACCTACATTTGCTGGTAAATGATGTGATCACCTTACATATTTTATATTTATTTGTACCAGCTTTTATTTATTAGACTTGTATGCATGCAGATTACAAAAAATTATAATTATTTAAACTCCTTTTAGATTAAGTAGTAAGATTATGTCAACTGCTATTATAATCATTATAATGTCTAAATTTTATTTCTATTTCAGTCATATACACTGCTTTGTATGGGGGTAGGGGAGAGGTCGGTTAATTTTTTGATCATGTGTCTTACACCAAATAAATAATACTTTAGGAAATATTTTATAGTTTTACCTTATAAAAAATATATCAAAATGTATTTTTAAAACTTTGAACAATTTGAAAGTATTAAAAATTTGATGCTCTATATAATATAAAGTATTTGTTAAATCTATTTTTAACTTGTATATTTATATATTTTTATATGGAAAAACAAAGGACTGACAGCTAATTTAACTATTTCAAGATCTTTTAAGGTATTATCAAAATAAACTTTAACTCTAGCTAAGCTCTGCTGCTTTCAACTATAAAGAAAACATATTCTGAGAGGTGTTGGCAAGAAATAAAGGATTTTCTTTTAAATACATGGTTGTTTTGTGTGAATTGCTATTATCAAACATGTTTATAGCAGCCATATTATGTGTATCAAATTTCTGTAACATTCTGTTAAAATGCAGAGGCAAAGTTTTTTATCAGCTGAAATTACACTAAAAAAAGTTTAAAATGAAATTTAAATAAACAAATCATTTTTACACTACTGTTCATGGAAATTTTATTGCCAAATTTGCTTTACAAAAACAATTAGTTTATTTGCTTTTGAACTTGGTAAAAAAGTGTAAAAAAAAACAACTTTAAAATCTGTCCTTTATATAACTGATCTACATAGCAAGACAACTAAAACTATCATAAGAAAAGCAAGACAATGTAGTCTACCTGCTCTAGTCTATCAAAAACATAGCCAGAAAGACATTGCTACAAATCTTAAAATTAATTACAATAGACTAAACCTACAAATTCTTTAATAATATATATTTACGTTACATATAAAATCATTTAAAACATACAATATTTACGTTACATATAAAATCATTTAAATATTTATGTTACATATAAATTCCTTTAAACCAATTCGAACAATTAACTTTCGTGAAACGTGTTAAAGGACGGCAGCAAGTCCAGAAAGCTGGAGAAACATACCACAGAAGAACTACCTCCCTCGTACAACAATCTATGTACACATGGGGGGGAAACATACCACAGAAGAAATACTTCCCTAATACAACAACCTACGTACACAATGTATCAAAGTGCTTAAATTTTTGTATGCTTCATTCATGCTAATTCACTCTTACAGGCAAGATTTGCAGATCAACAACAAAGGGATATTGTACTTTTTGTTAACATAATAATACATTTTTAAAAACATATTTAATTTTCCAAAAAGTATAGATGAGGAAATTCTATAAAACAAAGCATCTGTAAATATGGAATTTCATCAGAAAATAACTCAAGCTCCATTTTAAAAAAAACCCCACCAAACTTGCCAACAAAGTTTTTAACAGATATTTACAAAAGCAAATCTGCCTTTAATGCTATACTTCCTTTAATTAGATTTTTTAGGTTTAACTTGGAATGTCAAAATTGATGAAAAAAAAACAATGGTTCAAAATTTGGTTAACATGCTACCTATGTACCAGAGGATAGTTTAACCATTTGAGACATTGGAAGCTATTAATAATTATAGAATGTATTACATTGTGATTAATGGTAACAGTTCGGACTAAACACAATACTTCACTTAGATGGGGCTATATTTTTTACAAGTGTATGATGCTGTAGAAAAAATATTTGGTCTCATGCATAAAGAAAGTAATGTTTAAGATAGAGGTATTTTGTTTATACATGAATTTTGATATAGGCTACTCAGCTTCAAATAGTTATTTGTAATGATGATCAGAGAAGATTTAATCAACTGCCATTCTAGGATTGAATATGCATATTTGCGACAAAAAGTAGAGAACTTCCAGCTCTAATAGACAGCTGTCAGTTGGGGGAGGGGGGGTAAAATCTTAGAGATTGTTCATGCTGATTACAAAAGACTAGGATACTTTATAGAGGGGGGAGGTCTATTTGAATGAATCTTGGTAAAAATCCTAGAACATATTTGATGGCACCGAAAAGCCCTATCTCTTACATGGGATGGGATATGCCTCTACCTCAATGTCCCTAGTTCACACATAAAATGAGAAATGCTCTTACATCTTGACAGAAACCAGATATGGTACACACCATTACTTGTATAAAAATATTTTTAAAATTTAACTGCTATCTATACTTTAAATACATGTTAAGAACATAAAATCTGTACAATACATTGACTCCGATTAAGCATACTAATTAATTAGCACTTGTCCAATTACATTTATCACTAAAATACCAAGAATCAAGAAGCCCTAATTATATGTATTAATACCCGATTATGAGACTTTAAATTGCACATAAAAATAATTAACCTGATAATGACTGGCAATAATTATGCTGCCAGTTTGGCTAGGGCAAGTATGAATAACTGTAAAATGTAAAAACCAAAACTAAAAATTTAATTATGAAAATGTTTTGAATGAGACTCTATACACACTATAAAATTAATTCAATACAGATGTCTTAAATGATCACTTATAGACATACATTTCATACTCAAATCTGTATTACAATTGTGTAAAATGGAACATTTATGTGGTTTTCAATGTGTTGGATCACATTTGTCAACAGCCGTGCCTTGCTTAGCATTCATCTGTGATGTGTGTCAAATCAAGTGTTATTGACATCCTGATGTATCAGCTCTAGATGTTAACATCACTGTCCCACATCACTCCTCAGTGTTGAGTGTATCACCGTATGATGTTAACATCTTAAAATAACATTAGATGTTAACATTCCTGTGTTATACATCACTCTTTAGTGTTGAGTGTGTCATCATATGATGTTAACATCATATGATGACACACTCATCTTAACATATCACCATATGATGTTAAAATTCCTGTCAAACACATCACTCCTCAGTGGTGAGTGTGTCTAACACATCACTCCTTAGTGGTGAGTGTGTGGAACACATCACTCCTCAGTGCTGAGTGTGTCACCATAAGATTTCCCTCCTTGAAATGTGTCCATGAATTTATCAGCACGGAAAAATTTGATGATTTCCTGCATGGCAGACACCGGGAGCATTCTGTAACAGATTAGACAAAATCACATTCACATTGGAAATAAATCACCCACACATTGAAAACAAAATCACATTCACATTGGAAATAAATCACCCACACATTGAAAACAAAATCACATTCACATTGGAAATAAATCACCCACACATTGAAAACAAAATCACATTCACATTGGAAATAAATCACCCACACATTGAAAACAAAATCACATTCACATTGGAAATAAATCACCCACACATTGAAAACAAAATCACATTCACATTGGAAATAAATCACCCACACATTGAAAACAAAATCACATTCACATTGGAAATAAATCACCCACACATTGAAAACAAAATCACATTCACATTGGAAATAAATCACCCACACATTGAAAACAAAATCACATTCACATTGGAAATAAATCACCCACACATTGAAAACAAAATCACATTCACATTGGAAATAAATCACCCACACATTGAAAACAAAATCACATTCACATTGGAAATAAATCACCCACACATTGAAAACAAAATCACATTCACATTGAAAATAAATCACCCACACATTGAAAACAAAATCACATTCACATTGAAAATAAATCACCCACACATTGAAAACAAAATCACATTCACATTGAAAATAAATCACCCACACATTGAAAACAAAATCACATTCACATTGAAAACAACATCACACACACATTGTAAACAACATCACACACACATTGTAAACAACATCACCCACACATTGTAAACAACATCACACACACATTGTAAACAACATCACACACACATTGTAAACAACATCACACACACATTGTAAACAACATCACACACACATTGTAAACAACATCACACACACATTGTAAACAACATCACACACACATTGTAAACAACATCACACACACATTGTAAACAACATCACACACACATTGTAAACAACATCACACACACATTGTAAACAACATCACACACACATTGTAAACAACATCACACACACATTGTAAACAACATCAGGCACACAATGAAAACAAAATCACCGACACATTGAAAAAAAAATCACCCACACATTGAATGAAAAAAAAATCACCCACACATTGAAAAAAAAATCACCCACACATTGAAAACAAAATCACACACACATTGTAAACAACATCACACACACATTGTAAACAACATCACACACACATTGTAAACAACATCACACACACATTGTAAACAACATCACACACACATTGTAAACAACATCACACACATTGAAAACATCACACACACATTGAAAACAAAATCGCACACACACTGAAAACAAAATCATTCACACATTGAAAAAACAAAATCACACATAATGAAAACAAAAATCACTTCAGTTACCCCTTCAAGGGTTCTAAAACTGTTGACAATTGTTCCTTTATAGCTTAGAAAAACAAGGACCCATTTCAGCCCCATTTGAAAACACTCAGGCACTTTAAAGGTTACAGATCACTAGATGCTAGACTAACCCTGGGTCGAAAAACTAATCATCTTTCAAAGGAAAACTTTCACAAAATTAAAACTCCTTCAAGCATAATTATTTAGATAATACATGCTGAAATTCTTTATAAGCCTTACTGACTGATTCTTATAATCATTTGTACAAGCCATATTTGTCTCTTAGAAATGTTTAAACTGGTTTTAACAGTTTCCAAAAAAATAAATTACAGTAAATATTATTAATTAACACATTCATTACGTACGTTTTCAAAGCTGCCATTACATACACCATACGTGGAATGCAAACTTCATTTTGATTGGTCAAAATGGCCTGTATTATCCTACTAACTGTTGGCTGTAACTCTAGTGCAGGTAGTATGTGTGGATATCTGAAAACAAATTGTTTGTGTTAAATAGCCTCTAGCACTAGTGCAGGTAGTATGTGTGGATATCTGAAAACAAATTGTTTGTGTTAAATAGCCTCTAGCACTAGTGCAGGTAGTATGTGTGGATATCTAAAACCAAATTGTTTGTGTTAAATAGCTTCTAGCACTAGTGCAGGTAGTATGTGTGGATATCTGAAAACAAATTGTTTGGGTTAAATAGCCTCTAGCACTAGTGCAGGTAGTATGTGTGGATATCTGAAAACAAATTGTTTGTGTTAAATAGCCTCTAGCACTAGTGCAGGTAGTATGTGTGGATATCTAAAACCAAATTGTTTGTGTTAAATAGCTTCTAGCACTAGTGCAGGTAGTATGTGTGGATATCTGAAAACAAATTGTTTGGGTTAAATAGCCTCTAGCACTAGTGCAGGTAGTATGTGTGGATATCTGAAAACAAATTGTTTGGGTTAAATAGCCTCTAGCACTAGTGCAGGTAGTATGTGTGGATATCTGAAACCAAATTGTTTGTGTTAAATAGCTTCTAGCACTAGTGCAGGTAGTATGTGTGGATATCTGAAACCAAATTGTTTGTGTTAAATAGCTTCTAGCACTAGTGCAGGTAGTATGTGTGGATATCTGAAACCAAATTGTTTGTGTTAAATAGCTTCTAGCACTAGTGCAGGTAGTATGTGTGGATATCTGAAACCAAATTGTTTGGGTTAAATAGCTTCTAGCACTAGTGTAGGTAGTGTGTGTACTGTAGGCTTGTCATAGGAGTGTATGTCAGTGGGTGTATGTCATGGAGGCGTATGTAAGGGGTGTATATCAGGAGTCATGGGGTGTATGTCAGGGGCTGTGTGTATGCTATGGTGGTGTATGACAGGGGGCTTATATTAGGGTGTGTATGCCTAAGAGGTTTCGGAGTAGGACACTTAAGTCCAGTCACCATCATGTAAGGAAAGGAGTGGGGGTGGGGAGCTATCAGTGCAGAACTTACGCCATTTTACACCCTTTAAACATGTCTGTCTTGATGTAGGATGGGCTGACCAGTGTTGTGTGTACACCATCATGACCGGAGAAATAAATTTCATAATTCAGAGTCTGAGTGAAGCCAGTCACACCAAACTTAGATGCACTGGAATGAAAGAAGATACTTTAGTTACCTTTTATCAGCACTAATCAGTTTTCTATATGAGTTAATTAACAAAGAGGAATGTAATGTATTTTAATATAAATAGACAGTTTTCATCATGTTGAAAACATTGAGACTTTTACTAAGGCGTTACAAGTATTCTTCAGTTATGATGTTGAAATATAAGTCTGATTTACAATACATTCTTAAGCTACGTTGTTGTGATGTTGAAATTACATGCAAAATAAATAAGGTTGATGGAGATGGTTACTGTCTAATTTTCTACAATGAAAAAAATGGATTTTGTGTTTATTCAGTTACCTCCCTTAGTATACAATTTAAAAAAAACAACACTGCACTCATTTTTACTCATAATAAATCTTATGTATTTTATTTCATATAGACCCATCACTTAGCTATCATTTTTCAATTTTATCACATTCAACTGATAACTTGTTGTCTTCTCTGACAATTACCCTACAGATCAGGTAACTTACCTGTAATTAGTTACCCCATAGATCAGGTAACTTACCTGTAATTAGTTACCCCACAATCACTTACCTGTAATCAACCAGGTGAGTGATCCCTATGTGACCACAAGAGCTCCCCATGTTAACTTACCTGTAATTAGTTACCCCACAGATCAGGTAACTTACCTGTAATCAACCAGGTGACTGATCCCTATGTGACCACAAGAGCTCCCCATGTTAACAATGTGGCCGTGGTTGTTTTCTAGCATAGAGGGAAGGAACTCTTTGGTTGTCTGACATGGGGTAAAAAATATTACATTCAATTACTTTTCTAAAATAGTAGATTACAATAATTACATTTTTAATATAGTGGATCACATTAATTACATTTCTAAAATAGTGGATTACATTTACAATAATTACATTTCTAAAATACTGGATTACAATTATTACATTTCTAAAATAGTGGAGTACACTATTTACATTTCTAAATAGGGCCTACGAAATCATAATATAATTAAAACAGTTTTCTAAAACACAGTAATAATGGCTAAAATTCGTTTTCTAACATTGCTTTTATTACCCGCCTATGTGTAAACCTGGAGTCGCCTATGTGTAAAACGTGGACCCGCCTATGTGTAAAACGTAGAGCCGCCTATTTGTAAAACGTGGACCCGCCTATGTGTAAAACGTGGACCCGCCTATGTGTAAAACGTGGACCCGCCTATGTGTAAAACGTGGACCCGCCTATGTGTAAAACGTGGACCCGCCTATGTGTAAAACGTGGACCCGCCTATGTGTAAAACGTGGACCCGCCTATGTGTAAAACGTGGACCCGCCTATGTGTAAAATGTGGGGCCGCCTATGCGTAAAACGTGGACCCGCCTATGTGTAAAACCTGGAGCCGCCTATGTGTAAAACGTGGACCCGCCTATGTGTAAAACGTAGAGCCGCCTATTTGTAAAACGTGGACCAGCCTATGTGTAAAACGTGGACCCGCCTATGTGTAAACCTGGAGCCGCCTACGTGTAAAACGTCAGGCCGCCTAGTAAAGCTTGGAGTACCTTCCTATGTTAAATCGCATGTTTCTAGTGTGTTCCTATCGTGGGGCGGGCGGTACCTCCCACACCCACCCAGGGACAAGGCCCAGCCTATATACACCCTCTTATCTTTATGGCCTAGTGTCAGTATCCGGGGACCGTTTGACCGGTCATGTGAGGCACGCCTTTCGGTCAAGGTTGGACCTACCCTTTACTTTTGGGTTAAGCTGATACATACAAACTGTCCTCATACAAAGCCAACATATAACTTTTATTTCAACATTGTAACATTAGAAAACAGTGTTTCTTTCATCTTTAAAAATGTTCCGAGTTAAATTAAATTTATTTTTTTCCCCCTAAAATTCCCGTCACCTCCCCGCTGCTTCTGAGGGATAACCTACCTGAAAGAAACACTGTTTGAAAACACCTAATCTTCTATGTTTATAAACAGCAACGTTTAAACTAAACGGTATGTTATGCTAGCAAGATTGTGAGCTGTAGAACGGCGTTTACCCCTTAGATCGTATGCTGTTGACTGGCAGTTTACCACTGAGATCGTATGCTGCTATCAGTTTACCCCTGAGATCGTATGCTGCTGTCAGTTTACCACTGAGATCGTATGCTGCTAACTGACAGTTTACCACTGAGATCGTATGCTGTTAACTGGCAGTTTACCACTGAGATCGTATGCTGCTAACTGACAGTTTACCACTGAGATCGTATGCTGCTGACAGTTTACCACTGAGATCGTATGCTGCTGACAGTTTACCACTGAGATCGTAGGCTGTTAACTGGCAGTTTACCACTGAGATCGTATGCTGTTAACTGACAGTTTACCACAGAGATCGTATGCTGCTAACTGACAGTTTACCACTGAGATCGTATGCTGTTAACTGTCAGTTTACCACTGAGATCGTATGCTGCTGACAGTTTACCACTGAGATCGTATGCTGTTAACTGACAGTTTACCCCTGAGATCGTATGCTGTTAACTGACAGTTTACCCCTGAGATCGTATGCTGTTAACTGTCAGTTTACCACTGAGATCGTATGCTGCTGACAGTTTACCACTGAGATCGTATGCTGCTAACTGACAGTTTACCACTGAGATCGTATGCTGTTACCTAGCAGTTTTCCTGATATCTTATGCTGCTAACTGACAGTTTACCACTGAGATCGTATGCTGCTGACAGTTTACCACTGAGATCGTATGCTGCTAACTGGCAGTTTTCCCCAGCCCACACTGAGTACAATCACGAGATCGTATGATGTAAAATAGCAACCCCCCCCCCCCCCCCCCCCCCACATTTGATAGGGTCACGCACATGACAGCCATTAGCCCGATACGACGTGACAGTGCGCAGCCGCGCGGACACGCACCGGAAGTCCTGACCAGACGAGCGATTTGGTCAAGACCCCGACAGGTGTTTCATACCTAGGTTTAGTGACCACTGTGATATGGGAAGATGTGAAGGGAGGGTGAGGAATGGGAGGGGGTAGGTGACAGCGTGGGAAACTGGACAAGGTATTTTAATGGGTAAAAAAAAAGTGGGTCGGCTTTTGATTCCCGACGGAAGGGACCAAGAGAAACGATCCGCAACAGCTCTACCATAAGATACCCAGCCACGTAGGAAGATAAAAAAATCAGAGGGAAAAAAAAAGTTGCAGTAGAATAAATAAACTATTTCCTTGGTTCTCAATATCCGGATGTCTGTCTTTCAAAATGTGCAGACGAGAATGCAAAGATATATGAATTTGTTATCCAGATAGATAATACATAAGCTATTAGAATTAATTTAAAGATCACGATAATCTTACCTAAATGCACAATCCTGTATATAATTTGCATTAAGGAAAATTCTGCAATGCTAGGCGTTTTGGTGCTACACGCAAATTAACAGACAGAAATCAATGTTCATAGTCATTGGTGCCATTACACCAATACCGTAAGTTTAGAAATTTAAAAAAAAAAACCTTTTTAAAAACCCACAGAAAAAAAAAAACCGCGATGTTATTTAAGTTTATGACATAAGGGACTTTTCTTTGCATGTGTTTTTATTTTCTGTGACTGTCATACTTTTTTCTGTGCGACTTTTATAGAAAACGTCTGATATTTTTCTGCCGTGACATTTTTTTTTCCTGTGGCTTCTATCCACTCACCACATCCAGCTTATACTTACATTGCCTACTCACACGGTGCGCCTGCACGCGTATGTCCCCAATTAAGTAAGCGGTTTAAAACTGGCCAAAAATAGACGGATGTGACTTGGGGATTTCCCCAGAGATAGCTGACGTCACGGCGGGCCCAGACATTGGATGTTTTGTAACTAATCAATAAGCTTAAAGGGGTGGGGAGAGAGGGAAAAATTTGAAATTTTCCAAATTTTTTTCCTTCTCAGCATCAAGCCGTCTAGGGGAAAAAACTCAAGACACAAATATTGTTGTAGGTTGAAATGAGGTGACGACACAGTCGGAGTCGAGGGGCCGTATGGCGTATTACACGCAATACTTTAATTCTGTTGGATGGAGGGGGAAAACAACGTTGTTGGGCTTGTTTGATTCCCTTGGTTGTTACAAGATGAAGAGAGAATCGATTTAGTCCAGTGGCTAAAGGTACACACCTAATTACAAACACCGCATCTTGTGTTAAACATGAGTATTACAAGTCACTAATACGTACAGGCTAGCTAGTTATGTAAACAACAGAGGTCGTCGCCCTTGAAGTCTCGAGTCATCCGAAGCAAAAATTTTTTTAGATTTTTATCTGGCGACTTCAAAGTTCAGATACTTCCTCAACATAATATGTGGTGCATCTAGTGGGAAGGTACCAAGGTTAATGACTAAAGCAAAGGCGCACAGGGGTGAAAGGTTACTCACTCAGCGAGGTCAAAGGTTACTCACCTAGATGTTCAGCGGGGTCAAAGGTTACTCACCCAGATGTGCAGGGGGGGTCAAAGGTTACTCACCCAGATATGCAGGGGGGGGTCAAAGGTTACTCACCCAGATATGCAGGGGTCAAAGGTTACTCACCCAGATATGCAGGGGGGTCAAAGGTTACTCACCAAGATATGCAGGGGGTCAAAGGTTACTCACCCAGATATGCAGGGGGGTCAAAGGTTACCCAGATGTGCAGGGGCCAAAGGTTACTCACCCAGATATGCATGGGTCAAAGGTTACTCACCCAGATGTGCAGGGGGTCAAAGGTTACTCACCCAGATATGCAGGGGGGTCAAAGGTTACCCAGATGTGCAGGGGTCAAAGGTTACTCACCCAGATATGCAGGGGGTCAAAGGTTACTCACCCAGATATGCAGGGGGTCAAAGGTTACTCACCCAGATATGCAGGGGGGTCAAAGGTTACTCACCAAGATATGCAGGGGGTCAAAGGTTACTCACCCAGATATGCAGGGGGGGTCAAAGGTTACCCAGATGTGCAGGGGTCAAAGGTTACTCACCCAGATATGCATGGGTCAAAGGTTACTCACCCAGATGTGCAGGGGGTCAAAGGTTACTCACCCAGATATGCAGGGGGGTCAAAGGTTACCCAGATGTGCAGGGGTCAAAGGTTACTCACCCAGATATGCAGGGGGTCAAAGGTTACTCACCCAGATATGCAGGGGGTCAAAGGTTACTCACCCAGATATGCAGGGGGGGTCAAAGGTTACTCACCAAGATATGCAGGGGGTCAAAGGTTACTCACCCAGATATGCAGGGGGGGTCAAAGGTTACCCAGATGTGCAGGGGTCAAAGGTTACTCACCCAGATATGCAGGGGGTCAAAGGTTACTCACGCAGATGTGCAGGGGGTCAAAGGTTACTCACCCAGATATGCATGGGTCAAAGGTTACTCACCCAGATGTGCGCGAAAAGGTTGACGCTGAACGTGTCCTCTATCTCCTCGTCCTGTAGCTCCAGCAGTTTCTTGCCCGTCACCACCCCCGCGTTGTTGACCAGGATGGTCACGTCACCCACCTCGGTCCTCACCCGCCCCGCCACGCTCTTCACCTGGCCGTGGTTCCTGGCAGAGGGCAACAAAGTTGGTCTAGTTGACTGGCTTGGTGCTTACTTATTTGTGGGTGGTGGGTAAATACGTTGGTCATGTTTACTTATTAGTGTGGTATGGGGTGGGTGGTGGATAATTTCTTCGTCGGGGATGATTTCTTGTTTGGTGAGAGTGTGCTATATATGTCGAGGATGATTACTTGTGAGAGTGTGCTAAATATGTCGGGGATGATTTCTTGTTTGGTGAGAGTGATATAGGCTACAAGTGGGGGATGATTATTTGTATGAGAAAGGGAGGGGTGTAAATAAGACATAATGCGCAGACTTCTTTGGTGGGATGGTAGGTGTAAATCTAGTTGGGGGAGGGGGGGGGGGGAGGAGTCGAGTAAGTGGGGTCACTTTTTACTTGTAGGGGGGGGGGGGGGGGGTAATAAGTCAGTGATGCTTAGAGAGAGACTGTGTAGATAGGATCATGGTGACAACTGCCCCTTTCCCACAAACACACATTTTCCATTCCTCAGGGCTAGACATCAAGCAGCTGCATGTTGAGCTATATCCTGCCCTCACTACGTCACTGACAAGAGCTACATTTAACTGACATAATGAAAACTAATCCTGACCACCTATACCTTATTTAAGTCAGCTTCAGGAAAACACCTTTCTAGTAATATGAGACTAATGTAAATAATGACTGTTTGGCCTTGACTCAATAGCACCAGCTCAGCATTATCAAGCATTCAAGCCTAGTCATTAAATATTATTGATTCCCCACCCCTCCAACAAAACATTGGACCAACACTCATAAAACTATTTCAGATAATATTCCCAGCCCTGAGAAATAAAGTGACTCCTACTTAAAACTATAAGCATCACTAGACCACACAGCACCTACACTAAAAACTGTAAATATTGATTTTACCAGACAAAATTACTACCACTAATTTCATTACGTAAATTCATGGTATTGATTTAGCAGCCAGTACATCGGAACATAATTAGCTAATTCTCAACAGATATCCTGCTTTGGTGCCATTTCTTGACAAGCTCTTAAAGAAATTAATTGTTTGTGTGTCACGATAACAAAGATGTGCAAATAAACCCACAACAAGAAAAAAATCATGGACATAAGATGATTAATTGAATTGCCTACCAATACGTAAAAGAAAATAGTGACGTCAATGGCGTAATTTCGACAGTATTACACTTTTTGTTATCCATGTATGTAGCTAAAAAAAATAGGGCTACCTTCCTACAGACTAGAGACAAAAGATTTGTAATCGAGAAGATAATTTAAAAAGCAGAAGAAAAAAAATCAACACCAGATATATATCCCCTAATTCATTTACAAATCCTGTGATTTCCATACAAGCACCAGTAATTATATTTTGTAGATAAACAAAAAAATGGAGGGACTAATTAACCAAAAGCCTGACCTACAAGTAGCACAGACATGACTCTAACACCAAACCTAACTAACTTTTAAAGCATCATTCCACTCATTACAGTACATGGTTACAGTTAATCAACAAAGAAGTTAAAAAGGTGTCTTATGAAAAACTCACCTGACATCGCAGGCATAGGTAAAACATTTCCCTCCAACTTCTTCAATCAACTCTTTTGTCTTGTCCAGTCCACCTTTATTGATGTCCCAAAGAACAGTTATTGCTCCCATTTTGGCAAACTCCACAGCCAACCTTTGACCTATTCCAGCTGCTGATCCTGTCACCAAAACAATTTCTCCTTGCACACATTTTCTACTTGGTGGAATAAAAAACTGAATCCAAGAAACCAGAAAGGCAAATGTGATGTTTTTTAAAGTCAGGAGAAATTCCAGAAAAATTGAGAACATCTTGTCCATTACAAATGTTTTGTTTACTCTTCTGATCAGTTAGAAGCTTGTCACTCTGAGCATAGTGAAAATGCTTATTTCATTACTGAAAATGTAATAAACACATTTGAGCTTGCTGAATAGATACAAGAAATTATTTTTTAAAAATACAATAACAGCTACTCATTTATTAAATACAACATTAAAAAAAATGGCCTTCTTACCTTTCTACATTCTACGAACCAAACCTAAAAGATAATAGATTGCAAATCTATCACTTTCAATGCATATTCAATTGAAAAAAAATGCCAAGCCTACTTTTACTTGTAGTTGGTTTAAAGTTTACCACGACCCTGCATCAAAACACTCGACCCTGCATCAAAACACTATCAAAAGGGCAAATGAAGTAAAGTTGATCTGTTTCTAGATGTTGCCATATAAAAGGGATAATGTGGTCAGCACTATGCAGTGGCGTAGCGAGATCGGGTGTCACCCGGTGCGGCACTTAATGGTGTCACCCCCCCCAGAGGCGCTGCGACCCTTCCCGGGGACAAACTTTCAAGTTTTCAATTTGCACCCCCCCCCCTCAAACTTTCGATTTGCACCCCCCCTCAAGTTTTTCTCTATATATTTTGCTATTTTTTGCCTTGGTGTCACCCCCCCTAAATGGTGTCACCCGGTGCGGTCCGCACCCCCCGCCCCCCCTCCTCGCTACGCCCCTGGCACTATGCCTTTACTTTCCCTAACTTGGACTCAAGAACATCCTACAGTGCTGAGGCCAGGTTTTGAACTCCAAGACTTTCAGGTTAACAATCATGTGTTCTATAGTCTATACCAGGGGTCTCCAAACTACGGCCCGCGGGCCAAATGTGGCCCGCGAGGTCATTTCATCCGGCCCGCTGCGATCTTTTTGTCCACTGTATAAATGTTGTTAGAGGTGACTGAGGAGTTTTGCACAGAAAATTCAAAACAATTTGAAAATGTAGCTTTGGGTGCAAATACCATTGCCCGCCGTGTTGCAGACATTGGTGAAAACATCGTGACTCAAATAGCGAAATATGCAAGCAAGCTTCGCCATTTTTCAATTGCAATGGATGAGTCGCTGGACAGTTTTTCCACCTCAACTTTTTGTGTTCATTAGAGTGGGTATAGAAATTGACTTCTGCTTCAGACATAACTAGTCATTTACATTTTCTGAACCTAAAACGGCAAGAGAGAGAAATCGAGTATCTTAGGGGAGGGCGGTGGACACTTGAAATTTGCAAATATTTCTATATAAATTATATTTCGTGGGGGGGGGGGGGGGGGGGGGGTAGACGTTCTTCTGGAGGGGGGGGGGTCCTCCACATAGATGTCTTAAAGAAACTCTGGCCCCCGAACTGATATTTCATAGTTAATGCGGCCCTCTGACTGAAAAGTTTGGAGACCCCTGGTCTATACTGAGACTATACTCTATACTCTGATCTACACTGTCTGGCCACACCATCTCATTCTAACAAACTATTAATTTTACTATTTAAAGGCACACTCAATATAATAATATAAAAATATGCTTTTTATATGCCTAGGCCGAACTAATGCATTTATTACAGATCTTACAAGAAGAAGATGATTTTCACAGGCACATCCATTTTCATTTAGAATGTTTATAACAATACAAGTTTGAATTAGTTTGGCAAAGTTTTATCACAATCCACAATATCATTAAAATTACTAAATTAGAATCTAAAATGTTTGGGCAAAAGCCTTTTGTCAAAAGTCACAAAAGGTTTGCAACTTGCGACCTAAAATTACAAAATACAAATAAAATCTATCCTGTGTATGTAAGTTTGTAGATCTATAACCAATTAATTTTCTCACCAAGTGACGATTTAGTTGTGAATTCTAAACTTAGTAAACTAGTCTAGAACCAAGTTTTAGTCTACAATGTCTACAAGGTCTCTTCCTGCAAAAGTCTCTTCGCCGACTGCTACACTCGGATCAGTGTAGTGACACACGAACAAAACAACAGCTGGTTTTAGATACAGTGTTGCCAGATCAAAATGTTGAAAATTCGTTTAGAAATACTAGCGAAGATATAGAACTAGATATTTTTTTTTTATAACTTCGGGTCAACAGCTTGAAAATATGCAGTTTGTTTCACGTTTAAAAGTCAAAGTACTAAATTTAATTATCATTATTTTTACCCTGGACCTAAAGTAAACAAACTATTAAAGATCTAGACGATTCCATAGTGGAAAAATCGTAGGGAGCTGATTTTTAAACTAGAAAGCACGAATCACAAAGGGACCCAGTCAGCACACATATATTGGCCCAATATTGGCTAAACATTGGTTACCAATATTGGCTACATCTTGGTGCAACATTGGCTTAACCTTGGCGAAACATTGGTAGTGAAACTCGGCATGATGTTGGCGCAATGTTGGCACAATATTGGCTATATCCCGGCTACATATTGGCCCAACATTGGCTAGATCTTGGCCAAATATTGGCTATATCCCGGCTACATATTGGCCCAACATTGGCTATATCCTGGCTACATATTGGCCCAATATTGGCTACATCTTGGCTCAATATTGGCTATATCTTGGCCCAATATTGTCTATATCATGGTTACATCTTGGCCCAATATTGGCTACATCTTGGCTCAATAATGGCTATATCTTGGCCCAATATTGGCTATACCTTGGCTCATCCTGTATTATATCCTGGCTACATCTTGGCCCAATAATGGCTATATCTCGGCTATACCTTGGCTCAGCCTGTATTATATCCTGGCTACATCTTGGCTCAAATTTTTATTTTTAGCATACAAAAAGATCCATTCTCATATCAGTCATAATATTTACAAAGGTAATTTCAAAATGTGAAAGAAATTTTAATCAAAATGTAGTAAAGCAGCAATACATACACAAGAACTGCTCATCTATTAAAATCCGTATTATACCATCCATTCAATTGTAAGAAAATTATAACTATACTATAAAGTATTGATTGAAAAAGAATAAGTAAATTATAGTGTAGTAACTTTCATTTTGACTTTTATACAAACAAATTAAAACAAATATACAAAACATTTTCATATAATGTAACAGATGTTAAGCAGGCCTACAGTTTAAATTAAACTAATGTAAAAACTTAATTTACTGTACAAGAATACAGAAGCTGTCTTGTACTATGATACGTAAACATAACATTAAAAATAAAAAGTATAAAATATTTGTCTAACAACATTTAATTGCATAGCTCGTTTAAGTATTCTAATTAAGGTTTACATTTTAATGCTGGACCAGTCTGCCTTGTCCATAAATAACAGAACGAAAATATGTTCAGGATCTCTAGATTATAATTGTGGTTAAATAGTGTTGAAATGAATGCCATTGTGTATACAAAATGTGCAATCTTTCAAAAGACAGATGGTTCGAGGGTTTATACGCATTGTGTAGAACAGGAATATCACTGCGATATTTAATAAATGTTTTTTTGTCTCGAGTATGAGGTATTTAATTATAGTAAACTGAATATATATTAATTTACTTCATTAATTAGAAATAAATATCACCAGCAGAAGTATTGTCAATACAAATGTTGCAAGCTTTTTTCAGATTGTACAGTGAAACTAAATAATGAAAGGAATTTGCAACTAATTCTTTAAAGAAAAAAATGTCAATTGTATATTTCATTTAGGGCATTAAATCTACACTAAACATACATACAATGCCAACTTAAATTATTATATTATTACAAAAGGAAACAATTTATTAATTTAAAATCAGCATTGTTCTTAGACTATTTTGGTAAGAGCATCTTTTCTTTTCGTTAAGCACTTAAATGCAATATGTATTAAACTGTTAACCTGATCCATCTGATCAAATTTTTTTTTTTAAATCTGATCTAAAATTATTACAAAAATCAATGTTGTCCTCATTCTTGTGGACCCTTGTGGAGCTGAGAGACACAACCACACCTCTCTATTTTTATACTTGGTTTTAGGAGATTCCCCAAAGTTGTGTCCATAACACTCTGCCTGCTTGTGTTTTGTTGGTTTCTGATATTTTCCATGTTTGTTTTGGATAACAAACTTTCTCTTTCCTTTGGGATTCAAATCCAATAAAACCCTGGTTGTTGATTTATGCAAGGTATGTCATAATCCATCCACATTCTAAAAAAGAAAAGTTACACACTAAAAGTCATTTATGAAATAATTACAACCATACACTGCTCATTTTGCACTAAATTTATAATGTTTATTTTATTTTGCACTGCACTGAACATACAACAAGAAGCCCCTAACATCATGTTTGCTACCTTGTAACGATATATTATATAGGTATAAAGACTGGTGGTCTGGGGTGTTCATGCTACCCAGGTAACACTTATACTGCATATATATATATATATATATCTATATATATATATATATATATATATATATATATATATATATATATATATATATATATATATATATATATATATATATATATATTTATAAACAAAAGTGAAAAAAAAAACCTGGTAATAAAAAAAATAATAGTATGTATATAAATATTATAAACCCCTTACCCTATGTCTCTGAGCTAAGAAGGTGCCAGACAATTTTTGAGCAATTTCATCAACTTTATCAATTCAGTAATTGAACGATTAGACCCTTCAGAGTGACCCAGAAGTAATGCTTGTGGTCTGAAATTATTTTACTAATATCAGTAAAGGCATTAACTACACATGCTGATCAATACATGCAAGCAAAAATTACTAAATGAAAATTATTATTCACTTTGAAACAATGTAAACTTACAGTTGTTAAGTGTTAAGAACATTTAGTCATTTTCTGGTGTAGCCAGTATTTGGTGAAGTATCAAGCAGTGGGGACCTTATAATTTATTAAAGATTGATATATCTCCAGTGGGCTGATTGATATACACAACACCTGAAAGGCCTGAAAATAAATGGCATTCTTAGTTATTAAATATAATAATAAAATGAGTGAGTGATACAATAAATGATAGCCAGATTAGATACTAATTTTTAAGTATCTCTGTTTATTTGATCTCTGTATATAAAGGATTGTGTAGTCAACACTATATCTAGTATTATCTAGCCACCTTTTTTATTTCATAGTCTTAAATTGGGTATATATCAGACTTAGGTGAACTGATGAATGTACTACTAACTTGGCTTTATGTTTAGCAATAGTGTCCTCAACCATTTGCCTACTCTGTCCTCTATATGATAATATGAGTAGTGTTGATCATTAAGTATGGCTTACTAATAGTACCATCTTATCGCTGTTGGTCATGAAATTAAGTGTTGCTCTGAGGTCTCCACACTACTATTTACACAACTTACATCTTATTCATCAAAACATGCATTAGACTGGAATCCCCAGGGAAAAAGGAGGGTGGGCCGGCCAAGGAAAACATGGAAGAGAACGGTTGAGGAGGAGGCGAAAACAGCTGGGCTCTCATGGGCACAGATTAGAGGAGCAGCCCAAAACCAAGTCCGCTGGAGATGTGTGGTTGCAGCCCTTTGCTCCCCAGGGGCCACAAAGGAGTGATGATGATGACATCTTATTCTCCCATAGGGACCTGTAACAGTAATAGAAATTTGAATGACAATCTTGAATCAATTTAGAATTCTAGTTGACTAATTTTTTTCAAAATTAATACCTATCAAAATACACTGTTTAACATGTAGAAATTTGTTCTATAATTGTGTCTACTGTTCCTCTCTCTCTCTCTCTCTCTCTCTCTCTCTCTCTCTGAATTAATTAATAAAGACAGTTTCAAATCCTTACACAAATAGGCCTAGAACAATAAAATTAAGTTTTTAAAAAAGTTAAAGTGAATGATTATTTATTAATTTATAAACATTTAAGCCCCCTCCCCCCTTTCCCTGTGCGTGATAATTATACCTAAAGTTGAAAACCAATAAATACATCGATCTATCAATAATCAATATAACCCCAAACGTACTTGCCAGAGGCGTAGCGAGGGGGGGCGGGGGGGGGGACATATGTCCCCGGGCGCCGACCTTAGGGGGGGCGCCAAATTGAAAGTTTGAGGGGGGGGTGCAAATGAAAAGTTCGAGGGGGGGGGGGGTGCAAATCGAAAGTTTGAGGGGGGGGTGCAAATGAAAAGTTCGAGGGGGTGTGCAAATCGAAAGTTTGAGGGGGGGGTGCAAATGAAAAGTTCGAGGGGGGGGGGGTGCAAATGAAAATTTGCTCCCGAGGGGGGCGCCAAATTGAAAGTATGTCCCCGGGCGCCGGGAAGGGTCGCTACGCCTCTGGTACTTGCATACTTTTCAATACAAAAAAAAGTGCTGTCAAAATTAACCGCCCTCTGATTACGATTTTTAGTTATTTAGTATTATTAGAATCTAGATCTATTATATCTATCATAAAGGAGATTATTGTAAAATGTAATTATAGCCTAATGCCAAAATAAACAGAATATAGACTCTAGTATTATTAATATATAGATCTAGACTAGATCTAGATCTAGGCTCATTTTATTACCTCAAATAAACTACCTTTTATAACTTTTATTTGATGACTTAGGCCCATAAAGTTAAAGTTTCCAACAAAAAAATACGAATTTTCCAGATTCTGCATAAATACAGTTATACTACTTCTCACTGTTGAACTAAAATGGCTACAGTGGGCCTACCTGTTTTACTGTGACTGGATACAAAGTCTTTTGTTAAGAAAAATGGCGCAGGACCGGGATGCTGGCTTGCGAACAATAGGAAGGAATGTGAACAAAGGGACAATGGGCGACAGGGGGCCATGGCAGTAGCGCACACAATTTTAAAAAGATTAACAAAATGTTTAACACATGCAACGTAGTCTGTTATTGATGCTATGTTTACATTAGAGCATGATATTAAAAGATAAATTAATTTTAGTTAACATATATTAAGTTTAACAAGCATATTTAACTAAAATTTATGCAGTGAATCCATAAATCAGTGTAATCTTGGCAGCCAAGGTAAAAACGGTTAAATATCAAGGTATCAAGGGATGCAAGCATGTACAAATCTTGGCTGTACCCTGGCGTAAGCTTGTCCAATGTTTGGCCATGATTACAACATTGGGCCAAGGTTGGGCCGACCCTGGTATTACATACTGTGTTAGCTGGGGAGGCACACATCATTATAATATAGATATTTTAATAGCCTTCAACAAAGAGGTGCGAAACGTTCAAAAGAAAATGCACATAATTATAAAAACATACAGGCCTAATTAAGGCTTTTTAAAAAATGCGATTGTAGATCAAGAAAGTCTATCCTGCGGCAGTACAACCGCCCCCCCCCCCCATAGGGTCATCCATTAAATGACGTCACGCTTTTTTGGTCGACTTTAATCCCCCCCCCCCCGACCTCCGTCACACGTCGTCACATAAAGCCAGACCCACATCCCCTCAAAATTTCTGTTGAATTTTTCTTAAAACATCGATATTTTTCCAAAATCTTGTCAGAGTGTTTTGATCAATTACTAATACAATTTATTAAACCCGTTTTCTAAACGAGAAATAACGGCTAAAACTCGTTTTCTAACATTACTTTTTTATAATGCAAAAAAAAGTGACGTCACACTATATGTAACACCCCTCCTCATCACACACCGTCACATAATTACAGACCCCCTCCCCCTTCGAGTGTGACGTCATTTGTGGACTACCTCCAAGCTATGCCACTACTTGGGGTGGGACGCTGCAATACGGTGCACGTCAACCCCCCCCCCCTTCTCCATGTCGATACATGAAAGTTAGTACATTTCAAAAGAAAATGGTTTTAAAAAATTATACCGAGCACAAAGATACCTTATATTATTCAAGCCTATACTCACTTTATTATCGAAAGGTAGCCTCCCCCCCCCCCCCCCCCACCCCTTACGGATACATAAGAAACATTTTCGGCTTTTAACGGTTACTTGCCCGGTAGAAGTTTGTTGTCAAAATGGCGGCAAACAAGGTACATCAACAATAATATCAATGCACTGCTTTATCATAATTAATAGATCTATCAAGAAAATACATTGATGTATTAGACTAATGACAGATCTATAGTATATTTGAGCATATTAAAATTCGTCAATATTAAAGATTCGTATATAACATTTGAATTACGGTGTTTGATTTGAATAGTGTCTTACCCTCAGTCATTACGCCTTATCAGCAGTTTTGATTCAAAACACAACAACCAATTCTCGATAGTTCTATTTTGCTGCTCTTGTTTAACTGACACTATCTGCTTTATTATTTTTAAACACAAATTATCAATAGAGAGCAATCAGGTAGAAATTCTCATTGACTTCCTTTAATAATAATGCATATATTTATATATTTAGGAGGCTATAGCTATCATTTTAGATGTCGGACCATCTATGAACCAGGCCCCACCAGGGGTTGCAACAGCATTAGAAACAGCAATCGAAGGCATCAACATGATTCTACAGAGAAAGGTCTTGTACTGTATCTGCTTTTAGTTTACCTGGCTTGTATCATAATAATAATATTCACAAATATAAAAATTTGCTTTCAATTGTTAGTAATAATAGAGCCTATATTTTTTTGAAGTGACTACTCGGAAAAAGATGTTTTGCCCCAGCGTCTCCATTTGGTCGGCAAAAGATAGTTCTGCGCGTGTGCAGTGACCTTAATAGCTGAGCTAGGGTTAGGGATAGGGTTAGATTGTTTGTAAACACACGCATGCGCAGTACCATCAAAAACATCGCAACGAAGGAAAGTCATAGTTTCACTCCATTGCGCGTGCATATCTTTTTTACGGCTAGAATTTTTTTTTTTAAAGTTTTAAAAATAATTTACACATTGAAAATAGGGCCAATTAATAAATATAGGCCTAATTATAGTAGACCTATAGACCTATAATTTAAAGGTTTGAAGACAGAGCTATTTCTTAAACTGCTATAAATTATTTGTAGTTTTACAATAACTCCAGGGTATTTAAGTAATGAAAAAAAATGTTGCAAAAACTAGTAAATTAAATACCAACACAAAATAAATTAATTTCTTATAAAGCAGTTTAGATTCTCTATTTTGTGAGGTATTAATTACCTCACCTTATACACTTTCATACATTGTTTTGTTTCTCACTGATTTAAATGTTTTTTTATTTTGAAATTAAATTCTCTAATTTGTGTAGGCCCTAACATCAGTTCAAACTTTTTAAAATTTTCAGATGTTTTCCGAATCAAAAGATGAGGTTGCTCTCATCTTGTTTGGAACAACAGAGGCAGACAACCCACTTGATGATGGCAGGAGTTACCAGCACATAACCTTGAAGAGACATCTGGCAGTGGCAGACTTTGATTTGCTGCAGATGGTCCAGACAGACTTGCAGCCAACTGACACACCAGGGGATTGTATCCTACTTTGAATTTAAGTTGTTTTTGTTGAAGCAGTTTGACAAGTCAAAAAGAATGAAAAAATAAGTTTATATAAAAATTATTTTTACTTGTTGAGGCTATGATTGTTTGATAGTTAAAAATTTAATTGAAAAATTAAAGTTTTTCTTAACTGAATGTTTACAGTTGTCGATGCTTTAGTGGTTGCTTTGGATCATTTAGAAAATGCCACAAAGTAAGTCTTGATTTTTATTGTCGCAATAGTAAAAAGCAATTTAAATTTAGCCTAAGTTAGTATTTGAGTGAAGAAATTATTTGTTAACCAATCATTTTGTTCAAATAAATTGAAACAAATTTCTGCATTGTACAGGGGCAAAAAAGGCTTTGCTACGAGGCGAATTATTTTATTTTCTGACCTGGGTAGCCCTTTTGGGGATCAAGAGTTGGATACAATTATCCATGCGATGCAGAACACAACTCCTAAGACTGAACTTAATGTGATGTAAGTAAATATTTATATTATTAACTTTCACTTATTCCTGTAGACTGCTATTTGATTAGGCTATAATAGGAAATGCATTTCAATGTGGAAATAGCAACTTACCTACAGAACAGGCACAATACTTTAAAAAATTTTTTTTTTTTTTAGATATTTTTGTCTTTGAGTTGTCTCTTCCTGTTCATGTATGTAAAATTTAAATTTTTCTGTAGCGATTTAAGGAAGTGCATACCAGCATAATATTGTTAATTTTTATGGGACTAAATTTAATACAAATTATTGATGTATTTAAGTAAGAAGTTGTTACAGGTTTTACCATTTTTAGAAAAATAATATTGAAAAATGTTATATTTATTTAGAGGGCCAAATATTACTGATGAGGACGGTGATGGGGGTGACACAGCCAGAGGTTCAAAAGGAGGAGCCGACGCCCATCCACATGGAGCACGGAAAGAAAAAACTCCACAGCAGAGATCGGGCGAGGCGCTGATGAAATACATAGTTGATCAGGTTGATGGGGAGTGCTACAGTTTTAGGTTTGGTTGTAGTTCTCTACATCATACAATAAATTGTGTCTGACCATTGCTTTATGTCAATTTCCAATAAAAATTTTAATTGAAAATGTCTATATAAAAATACATTTTTTTTTTTGAAATAGAAAACAGCATTTCTTAAAATGCAAATAAAAACATAAATATCCAATGACTAAATTAGAAACAGAGAAGTTTAAATTTAAAGGGGAAGTAAGCTTGCAAAAATTGGGTTAATATCTTAATTTATAGTACTTTTTATGCTGAAATGAAGAAGAATAGATGAAACAATTAATTTGATGTTCACAGTGAAGCTCTTCCAGCTTTGAGCTACTTCCAATGCAGGCAGGTAAAACCAGTGGCTTGGAAGTGTCAACTGGAGATTGGAAACTTGGAAATTCCCATCTGTGGCTATTCTAAAGTAAGTGTTTTAATCCCTATCTCTGGCTATTCAGAAACTTTTTCACTTCATATAATGGCTGCTGAAAAATAAAGTTCATAATTGTTTTGAAGCTATTAATGCTAATTTTAGAAATGCCAAAGTAAATTTTCCACTTACATCATCACTGGATTGACATCACTGTACTTAAACTGTATCCCATGTTTCATTGGTACTCAATATTTTGGTCAGGTGAAAGAATATAAATTAAAACAAAGCTGGAAGAAAGTTTATGCACAAAACCCAGAACTTGTTCCTGGAAACTTGCGCACTTATCACATGAATAATGAGGAGGAGACGGAGATAGAGAAGGAGGATATGGTGGAAGGTATTTAACCATGTTTCTGAAAAAGTTCTAGATTTTAATGACTAACGTTATAATTATGGTAGATTTAAACGTTGGTGCCTGCATGTTTGGTCAAGGGAGATCACTCCAGCCTACTCCCTCCCCTGTAAAAATAAAAATGTATACTCATGCAGATAAGGATAAATTGATAAGAATGCATGTACACACACACACACACACACACATATATATATATATATATATATATATATATATATATATATATATATATATATATATATATATATATATATATATATATCCCCCACCCCCCATATATTTGAACGCCCATGTATTTATGTTCTAATTGAATGTTGCAGGCTATAGGTACGGTAACACTATTGTACCAATGACTGAGGATGACAAAGATAACATGAAGTACAAAGCTGAAAAGTGTCTTAAAGTTTTGGGATTCACCAAGTCTGAAAACGTCAGTCTAAGTTTATTTCATCTGCCTCATTGGGTCAATGTTTGCATGTTTATCTTTCAAATTTTTAAACGCAAATGTTCAACATGTTTTAGTGGGGGAAAATGATGTGATGTCCAAACAAGACTATTATTTTTTCTTACCTCCCTTTTTCTGTATATCTCACAGCAACCATAAAATATGGAGCAAGATCTACCTAATAATAGTTTAAATTACTATCTATTCTTTAAAATCAATCATTCATAGATGTCCATTGTGAAGTTGCTGTAAAGTTTAAAATAATTTATTGTAAGCTATTTTCCAAGAGTCATAAATGCTCCACCATAATATTGCTTGTTGCTAACAAATTCCTGTGTTTGACAGTTCAAAAGACACCATATTCTGGGTGATGGTGTCCTCTGTGTAACAGCTGAAAAGGGAGATGAGGTAACTAATATTTCCTTCAGTCTCTTCATCTGTTTAACCTATGTATTTGCTATTACAAACTCACAAAATGAACTGGTTTGTGTCTCTTTTAAAGTTTGTGACTTCACTTTTTTAAATAATTTTTTTTTTTTGGGAAATTTTAATTTTTTTTGTAAAAGTTGTTTTGAAAATTGGTTTATAATTTCAATTTCATTTTGGCTTTAGATCAGGATAACTAATTTACTGTAGTCAATAATAAACTTAAAATATTATCTTTCAAGTTAATTCTTTCTCTGATTCCAATTGGATTTCTAATGCACAATCTTCCAATGGTCTATTAGACTTTAGAGCCAATATTTTTGTTTATTCTGTATCACTTACACATGAAATCCTCTTACTTTCAGACAGCAGCCGTTGCTCTATCAGCTTTAATTAATGCCTTGTATGATACCAACACAGTAGCCATCGCCAGACGAGTTTATGCCTCCAACTCATCTCCAAGAATTGGTTGTCTCATACCTCACATCAAGGCTAAATATGAGGTGAGAACACACACAGGGACTTAACTCTGATGTATTGCTAATGTAAATAAATAAAGAAGGGACTTAACTCTACTGCATATTTAAATAGATAATGTATTCAGCAGCACTTTCTTGTGGAAATTTTTGTTTTACATGCTACTGGCATTGAGCTCAAAACTTAATTAAGCATACCCGAATGTAAAAAAAAAAACAGAACAGAAAGCTGCCAAGTGGTGTCAAGAATTTATTTTATTATTTATATTCTACTGTAGGCTAAAACAAAGCAGGAAATATAATTAAACTGTAAAAAAATGTCAGGTAGCTCATCTGCAGCCATAACTATAAAAATGTCAGGTAGTTCACCGGCAGCCATAACTATAAAAATGTCAGGTAGTTCACCAGCAGCCATACCTGTAAAATTGTCAGGTAGTTCACCGGCAGCCATAACTATAAAAATGTCAGGTAATTCACCAGCAGCCATAACTGTAAAAAAAAAAAAATTCTGTTCCTAATTGACCAGTGTCTGCTGTGGATGGAGCTGCCCTTTTGTGAAGACATCAGAACCTTCACCTTCGGCTCCCTGCCTTTACATGAAGATGTTGTTGTAAACAAGAAGTACAAGCCTACAGGTGAGAGTAAACTGTAACACATAGGTGCAATTTAACTCTGGAAACACAGCAAGAGTTACCTTTACATGAAGATGTTGTTGTAAACAAGAAGTACAAGCCTACAGGTGAGTGGTTAATTATATAGGTGAGAGTAAACTGTAACACATAGGTGCAATTTAACTCTGAAAACACTCAGCAAGAGTTACCTTTACATGAAGATGTTGTTGTAAACAAGAAGTACAAGCCTACAGGTGAGTGGTTAATTATAAAGGTGAGAGTGAACTGTAACACATAGGTGCAATTTAACTCTGAAAACACTCAGCAAGAGTTACCTTTACATGAAGATGTTGTTGTAAACAAGAAGTACAAGCCTACAGGGGAGTGGTTAATAATATAGGTGAGAGTAAACTGTAACACATAGGTGCAATCTAACTCTGAAAACACTCAGCAAGAGTTACCTTTTAAGAAATATTATAAATACATTTTAGGGAGCGATAATTAACGAATATTTTAAATGCATTTTAATGGAGCTATAATTAACAAATATTTTAAATAGATTTTTAGGAGCATTAATTAACAAATATTTTAAATACATTTTAGGGAGCAATGCTTTTACTATTAAAGCTAAAGAAAATTTATGTTTATTTTCTTAGTGTTAGTTCATTCAAAATCTGCTTAGTATAAAAGTTTTTTTTTACTTGATAACAATTTTATTTTTTGGTGTTTTAATAGATGACCAGTTGAATAAAATAGATGCATTAATAGACAGTATGGACCTAACAGCTGCTTTAGAGTAAGTGCTGCTCCTTTACAACTTTCTTTCACCACTATATATCTTGTTATGTAAGGGTTGGCATGGCCTAGCGGTAGAGAGCAGGACTGCTAATCTGAAAGTCTGGAGTTTGATTCTGGGTTCAAGTCAGCACAGCTGAACATCCTGAGTCCATCAGCCTTGATGAATACCTAACTCACGTTAGGTAAACTAAGGTGCCTAGGCATAGTGCTGACCACATTATCCCCTTGTATGCCGAGGTCAGTGAAACATGTGAACTCTACATCATCTGCCCCATGTGCTTTGGGCACATATGGGAAAAGATGATGATTTTGTGATATATAAACAGCTGTATCATGTCTTGTTTTGTTCAACAGAGGTGAAGATGGAGAGAAAGAGGAAGCTCTTAAACCCAAGTTAACTTTCAACCCTTACTTCCAGCGAGTTTATCAGGTCAGTTGAATGTGTCAGGCCTTGATTTTGATTTATTAATTAAGCATTGTTTAAACATCGTTATGAAACTACCAGTGTATTAGATTGTGCTTTGTTTAAGATTTGGAGAAAGTTTTCAGTAATTAATACCATTTTTTTGTTTTTTGTTACCAAAGTATTCTGAACTCATGGTTGATTATAGGACAAAATACAATCTAATTTAAACCAATTAAAATATTCATCTTAAGACTTAGTAATCCATTGGACAAATGAAGTAGAGTTCATATATTTCTTGACCTTGGCATATGAAGGGATAATGTGGTCAGCACTATGCCCAGTCACCTTTACTTTTCCTAATGTGATTGATGTATCCATCAGAGCTGGGTGGACACAAGAATATTCCACTGACTTGAACCCGGATTTGATCTTGAGACTTCTGGGTTAGCAGTCTAGCGCTGAAATGCATGCCCACACTCTCTCACAATTTAAACCACTTAATTACTTGTAATTTTAAATGATTACATTTATAATAGGCCAAATTTTTTAGATATTTACTACCTAAACCATTGTATTTGGTACAAGACTGCCTTTGTTAGTTACCTAATGATGTCCATGTTTGACAGTGTTTACTTCCATGTTTGACAGTGTTTACTTCCATGTTTGACAGTGTTTACTTCCATGTTTGACAGTGTTTACTTCCATGTTTACAGTGTTTACTTCCATGTTTGACAGTGTTTACTTCCATGTTTGACAGTGTTTACTGCACCGAGCACTGAACCCAGTGAAATCCCTGCCAGAGTTATCCCCCATGGTAGCAGACTACCTGCGGCCGCCTGCCACAGTGGTCAGCAAGAGCCTGCCAGTGCTGCAGGAGCTGAAGAAAGCCTTCAAGCTGGAAGTGCTGGACAAGAAGAAGGACCAGGCTGGTGACAATGTTTTTAATAAACAAAAGTAAGATAACTCTGAAGTTAGAGAGTTACCCGTCTCAGAAAATGAGTTTTTAACATGGATGGATACATTTTACTTTACGTGTCTACTGTACAGAGGCGTAGCGATCCTTCCCGGGGACAAACTTTTGATTTGCACCCCCCCCCCCCCCCCTCTAGATTTCAATCTATTTTTCCAACCCATTTTGGCGCCCCCTAAGGTCTCTGCTTCTGTAACTGCCTTGTTAAATTACATTTAATTGCTTTTCTAGGCTAAGTCTATAAAAAAACATAACTATTTCAACATAGGTATGTTGCTTAGAAGTATTTGAGTTTTTTTCTACTAAGTTTTAGAACTTATTAGCTTTACATAAGAGTTGTGTAAGCTGCGTCAGTGTTGTTACCCACCCCTAAATGAAGAAAAGGGAAACAATGTACTATGAGATAGACAATGGGCGTAATCCACCCAGTTGCCAGGGACAGGGTACCAAATATGTTGCCAGGGAAAGGGTTAACTGTAAGCATGTACTAAAATACTGAATCATGTAGTATGTATGTACTGGAAGCTATTCATCTCCTCCCTCAGTGAAGCTGACACAAATGCCCCTCCACAAAAGAAACTAAAACTGGATGACGACTTAGAAGGAGGACTAAAGAATATAACTAAAGCCAACATTACTGAGGTATAGCAAATAGCTTTTTAAAGAAAATTTTATTACATTTGTTGAAGTTTGTTGCCTTTGAACTCATTATAAAAATCAGCATGATTAAATCTATTACTTAAGTTTTGAAGAAAAGACTGTCTTTTGTACAGGTTGGTACTGTCATGCCCATTGAGGACTTTAAAGCATTGATTGGTCGGCGTGATGATGATCTATTTGATGAAGGTATGTATGAACCATTGCCTGTAATGATCTGTTTGATGAAGGTATGTATGGATGATGATCTGTTTGATGAAGGTATGTATGGACCATTGCCTGTGATGATCTGTTTGATGAAGGTATGTATGGACCATTGCCTGTGATGATCTGTTTGATGAAGGTATGTATGGACCATTGCCTGTGATGATCTGTTTGATGAAGGTATGTATGGACCATTGCCTGTGATGATCTGTTTGATGAAGGTATGTATGGACCATTGTCTGTGTTGATCTATTTGATGAAGGTATGTATGGACCATTGCCTGTGATGATCTGTTTGATGAAGGTATGTATGGACCATTGCCTGTGATGATAAATTTGATGAAGGTATGTATGGACCATTGCCTGTGATGATCTGTTTGATGAAGGTATGTATGGATGATGATCTGTTTGATGAAGGTATGTATGGACCATTGCCTGTGATGATCTGTTTGATGAAGGTATGTATGGACCATTGCCTGTGATGATCTGTTTGATGAAGGTATGTATGGACCATTGCCTGTGATGATCAATTTGATGAAGGTATGTATGGACCATTGCCTGTGATGATCAATTTGATGAAGGTATGTATGGACCATTGCCTGTGATGATCTGTTTGATGAAGGTATGTATGGACCATTGCCTGTGATGATCTGTTTGATGAAGGTATGTATGGACCATTGCCTGTGATGATCTGTTTGATGAAGGTATGTATGGACCATTGCCTGTGATGATCTGTTTGATGAAGGTATGTATGGACCATTGCCTGTGATTGATGTGAGAGAATGATAACTTGTGGTAAAAAGCCGGAGGGTACAGCAAAACCACATGTTCAAAACAAGTTTGATTCCATCTGAATGGTACTATGAGTTGTTAGGGTACTTGACAGCAGTCTGAGTATATTAAGAACAGATAGGCTTGGCCCTGAACTCACTGTCCACCCAGTACGACATTATTGAAAGTAACAAATCTACTTCATTTCCCTGTAGTCTGTAGCATATTTTCTTACCAAGTCCTTTGACTCTATTTTGTATTTTGATATTTCTTTGTAAAGTTTAGATACTTTAGAAAACAGCAGATTATAATTTATTATTTTACATTCAAACCTTTACTACCTTACATTCTTGAATTTGTTTGTTGTAGCATGTCAACAAATGCAGAGACGTATAGAGGAAATTGTGATGCAGTCATTTGGCCAGCAGACATACTCCAAGGCCATGGACTGTCTAAAGACATTGAGAGAAGAATGCATTAAGGTTGGTGAATTGTGAGAACTGTCTTCTAAGCTCTGATTCTCTATCATTGGTTAGCTGGTAATATGATTCACCAATTTTTTCTGAAGTTTTTAGCTTATGCAGATAGCACTGTTTATTTTATAAATTAAATGGTTTTTTTTATTGTAGAAATTAGAGCCAGGAGTGTACAATGCTTTTGTGAAAAACTTCAAGAATACACTTATAGCCAGGTCAAAGAAAGACTTTTGGGAGCATATTGTAAAAGGTAACTTAATAAACTTAGATTTTTGTTCATTACGCTTTCAACATTTACAACAGCTGAACTTTTTCTAAGTGTGGAACTAAACCATCTGATAATTAATAGAGAGACAACTTTGAATTTATAAGAGAGAAAATAAAATTAAGGAAACTTATAATTGTGATGAAATAAAATAACATTTGGTGACATTAGTGATACTTTCTTCTACTCCTGACTTGTCACAAAATCAGCCTAATCACCTCAATTTTGCCACTTACATTTTAATTACTGCTGGATGTAGTCTTTATGCTCTCTGGTACCAAAATTTTACTCTTTTTAAAAAAAAATCTCATTTAGTCCCATGACATCTAGTAATATACTCCATTCCTTCATTCAGTCAAAGCTGTTGGCCAAAAATATTTCTGACAATCAATTCTTGTCATGGATAATAGTTATTATTAAATTGTAGATTTTTAAAATTCCACTTACATAACAAAATCCAGTCTACGCTGCTATCTTTTTATATGAAACATATTATGTTGGGAAAAAAATCTAAACTAGAGTCTATAAACTAACAAAACAATGTTGAAAAATGTGTCCTATAATTTTATTGATGTACACCTACAATTTGTGACCCAGCTAAACAAGGCTTGATACCAAAATCTGAATGTGAAGAGAGCCGAGTCACACAGGAAGAGGCTGATCAATTTGTAGCAGAAGATGTCAAGCCAGAGCAGACGTCAACAAAACAAGAGGAGGAGACAACAGATGATCTTCTCATGGATCTTTGAACTTGTCATTTTCTTGATTCAACTTGTACGAAAGATCATGTTACCTGGGTATTTAGCATTCCTTGAAATTTTTTAGATGTAGGAAAATGGTTGCTTCAAATATGTGATTCTGTGTTACAAATAGTCATTTTTATTTCACACATTGTGTTAATCACAGGTTAGATGTTGCTTGTAGCCCGGTTGCTTGTGTGGCATTATACATTTACAATTTAGGTCACCACATATTTTCACTATAGGTCATTCAGTTTGATATTTATTAGTTTGTATTTTAGATAGAAAATTTGTTATGTTGTTTTGAGAAGGTACAGGTACATAATATTTGACCAACTTTAGGCAAAAATACTTCAGGTCATTGAAATTTTTCACTGCATAATGTGAATGCATCTACACAATGTATTTTTCTTTTATTTTATCTCAACATTCTGTTTTGAAGAGGTGTTTATTTAATTAACTTGAGGCAAAACATGTTTAATTCATACTATTTTCAAAGCTTTGTTGTAGTATAATTTCTAAAAAATTTTGTAAAAAATATTCATGTCAAACCTTTTTTAAAAATTTGTTTTGTTTTGTTTATGTGATTATGTTTTGTGATACATAGTAATTAAGAATGTTATTTAAATTTATTGGAATATATATAAATATTGCAGCTATATAATAAGTTAACACATACTTGCTGTTGGCTAGAGGAGAAGACATAGTCGTACAGTTGATACAAAGTTGGCTTATGCACAAAAACACAGCTACAATGCTACCAAAAAAATTTATCTAAATATTGCAGGGTTTTTTTGTTTGCTAAAATAACAATAAATAATATTTTTAAAAAGTGTAATGCAAACTGAAGTCTAATTTATGGTCTAGATATAGATCTTGCCTTTTTATAAAAATTCTTACTTTTTAAAAACTACATTTGAAATGCTTAATTTTGATTACAGAAATAATTGGTTGAGTTGCCAGTTAAAAACTCAAAGAGATGAAACAGGAAGTGGTAATTTTAAAAAATATCCCACAGATTGAAAAACCTAACGTAGGCCCTAGCACAAATCACAAATAGATTTATTTGTATGTCTGATACTTGACATATAAATTAAAACATTTAAACCAATTTCTGAAAAAGTTTATTAAAGCTAGCTGGTAACATATTTGAATAATTTTATCAGTCATGTTGCAATGTATATCAAGTTTGTGCTATAGTCATGTTGCAATGTATATCAAGTTTGTGCTATAGTCATGTTGCAATGTATATCAAGTTTGTGCTATAGTCATGTTGCAATGTATATCAAGTTTGTGCTATAGTCATGTTGCAATGTATATCAAGTTTGTGCTATAGTCATGTTGCAATGTATATCAAGTTTGTGCTATAGTCATGTTGCAATGTATATCAAGTTTGTGCTATAGTCATGTTGCAATGTATATCAAGTTTGTGCTATAGTCATGTTGCAATGTATATCAAGTTTGTGCTATAGTCATGTTGCAATGTATATCAAGTTTGTGCTATAGTCATGTTGCAATGTATATCAAGTTTGTGCTATAGTCATGTTGCAATGTATATCAAGTTTGTGCTATAGTCATGTTGCAATGTATATCAAGTTTGTGCTATAGTCATGTTGCAATGTATATCAAGTTTGTGCTATAGTCATGTTGCAATGTATATCAAGTTTGTGCTATAGTCATGTTGCAATGTATATCAAGTTTGTGCTATAGTCATGTTGCAATGTATATCAAGTTTGTGCTATAGTCATGTTGCAATGTATATCAAGTTTGTGCTATAGTCATGTTGCAATGTATATCAAGTTTGTGCTATAGTCATGTTGCAATGTATATCAAGTTTGTGCTATAGTCATGTTGCAATGTATATCAAGTTTGTGCTATAGTCATGTTGCAATGTATATCAAGTTTGTGCTATAGTCATGTTGCAATGTATATCAAGTTTGTGCTATAGTCATGTTGCAATGTATATCAAGTTTGTGCTATAGTCATGTTGCAATGTATATCAAGTTTGTGCTATAGTCATGTTGCAATGTATATCAAGTTTGTGCTATAGTCATGTTGCAATGTATATCAAGTTTGTGCTATAGTCATGTTGCAATGTATATCAAGTTTGTGCTATAGTCATGTTGCAATGTATATCAAGTTTGTGCTATAGTCATGTTGCAATGTATATCAAGTTTGTGCTATAGTCATGTTGCAATGTATATCAAGTTTGTGCTATAGTCATGTTGCAATGTATATCAAGTTTGTGCTATAGTCATGTTGCAATGTATATCAAGTTTGTGCTATAGTCATGTTGCAATGTATATCAAGTTTGTGCTATAGTCATGTTGCAATGTATATCAAGTTTGTGCTATAGTCATGTTGCAATGTATATCAAGTTTGTGCTATAGTCATGTTGCAATGTATATCAAGTTTGTGCTATAGTCATGTTGCAATGTATATCAAGTTTGTGCTATAGTCATGTTGCAATGTATATCAAGTTTGTGCTATAGTCATGTTGCAATGTATATCAAGTTTGTGCTATAGTCATGTTGCAATGTATATCAAGTTTGTGCTATAGTCATGTTGCAATGTATATCAAGTTTGTGCTATAGTCATGTTGCAATGTATATCAAGTTTGTGCTATAGTCATGTTGCAATGTATATCAAGTTTGTGCTATAGTCATGTTGCAATGTATATCAAGTTTGTGCTATAGTCATGTTGCAATGTATATCAAGTTTGTGCTATAGTCATGTTGCAATGTATATCAAGTTTGTGCTATAGTCATGTTGCAATGTATATCAAGTTTGTGCTATAGTCATGTTGCAATGTATATCAAGTTTGTGCTATAGTCATGTTGCAATGTATATCAAGTTTGTGCTATAGTCATGTTGCAATGTATATCAAGTTTGTGCTATAGTCATGTTGCAATGTATATCAAGTTTGTGCTATAGTCATGTTGCAATGTATATCAAGTTTGTGCTATAGTCATGTTGCAATGTATATCAAGTTTGTGCTATAGTCATGTTGCAATGTATATCAAGTTTGTGCTATAGTCATGTTGCAATGTATATCAAGTTTGTGCTATAGTCATGTTGCAATGTATATCAAGTTTGTGCTATAGTCATGTTGCAATGTATATCAAGTTTGTGCTATAGTCATGTTGCAATGTATATCAAGTTTGTGCTATAATCATGTTGCAATGTATATCAAGTTTGTGCTATAATAGTATATTTTCTAACCAGGTAATTTTCATCCCAGCCAATTATATTGGATATGTGTGTTGGTGTATGTGTATAATGTGTATATATACACCTACGATGTATAATGTATATAGGAAAGTGAATGCTCAAAACATAAGTCTTATTTGTAAATGAGGTTTGCTAATATCCCTGCTATTACAAGCATTAGAAATGACAGCTCACATATTTTCAATTACATTGTAAGAAGAGAGTCTTTGGTATTAATTTCCTTGTTTAACTAATTGCTGTTAACTTAATTGTATCAAAACATGACGTGATTTTTTTCTGAAAGTTTGTAATAGAACATCAGTAGTTGATAGTAATTGTTATGTCAGTTCTACCAGTCACATAAGGTCACAGTTATTTAGACTTCTACAAGTGACTTTCAATGTTGAGTTGTAGTTGTCACTTTTCTTGTACAGGTCATTTGAAGTCACTGGACTCACCTATGTTAAGTGCCATGTGGTTAGAAAATATTGTCACTTCTGAAATTTGTATTATTAAATCTAAGGCAGCAGTAGTGTTATAATTCATTTCTTATATCCTCAGTTGTATAATATTCATTATTTTAAAATTATAAGTAGCAGAATTTTAACAGTAGGTGCTACAGAGTTGTGTGTTATTTTCTTCATAGTTTTTTTAAGCTATTAAATATTAGCTTTTCTTTAAGTATAAAATCTATTTTTTAAAATCCTGTATATCGAAAAAAAAGTTTTATTATATTTTTACAAATTGCTTCCTTATTTTTATAAAATTGTTTCTTTTTTTCAATGAGCTGTTTATTGTACCTATACAATCATTATAAAGCAGAAGGCTACTATTTAGTCCAATTATTTTTTAATGCAACATTTAATTGTTTACACTTTTGATTAATGTAATTCCTTACGTTTAAAATGTATGACAGTCAAATTTACAAAGAAAATGGAACACCCCCTTCCTGAATGTATACAATCTGTTCTGTTTTCAACCTAGTGATTGTTACACTTTATTATGGCCTGATTTCCTTAACCACGTAAGATTTTTAAAAAAAATATAAATGACTGAAAGTGAATATTGGGTTCATAAGTTTGTTTATGTAGTATTCATTGCTTTAAGTAGACTGCATCAAGGTTGTTGTGAACTTCAGTATCTTGTCACTGTTCTTCTTTATATCATACAAGGGGAGGCGACTCAAGTAACAGCTGCTAAAATATATTTTAAACTGCTGTTCTGGATACTAGTCTTCATGTGTATAACTGGATGAAGTATTTGATACATTTTTTGTACTGCTTGGGCCAAAGGAATTTTTTCTTCTGTTTGTAAATATTTCATACCTTCTGCCCTAATAAAGTTGTATTTACCCAAAAGAAAAGTGAACAAGATGTAATCATTACAAATACATGTTGTTGCTTAATTTTTTTAGATGAGTTTACACAGCTTACATCTGAAATCTACATAATCACAAGGTTCAAACATAGTAAATAAAATACACCCTGAGCTGATTACACTAGCAGATTACATCTCATCTGACAAATAGATTACTCACAACTTGCATTTACAGTATCAGTTTTTACTTACCATTGTACAGCAGTAAACTCTCCCAAAAATAGGGGTGTTAGATTATCATTGGTATTAATTTTGTAACAGGTTTAGTGGTAGGGCAGATATTAGGGTTTCTTCTATGGTATGACTTGCACTAAAGTTAACCTTAATAAGTATTTTTTTTTGTGTGTAGTTTACTACCAATAACCTAATGCCCCATTTCTTACAAAGATTTTATTATTGTGACGTTATTGAACTTTAAAATTGATCAATCATGCACCTGATGGCATAAGACATCAAAGTTTAAACTTACATTACATCACAGCTTTGGGTACATATTAATTACATCATACTTTGCATACACAGATATCATTACAGCTTTCTGAATTACATTTTACACTAACAGGTTACATAACAATTTTCTCTTTCTTAATAAAGCTTTAACATCGATTTTGTCAAAATTATGTCGCATCTTACAGGTACATAATACTAATATATTCTGTGGTATGACTTACAGAATGTATCACATTTTAAATATGGTTACATATTGCATCTTCAGATAATAATCTCTCGCAAATCTCTTACACTTTACATTACAGATTACATAGCAGCTTACAATTACATCACTGTCAAATTAGTTAATGTTAAAACGAAACTAAATTACATTTGTGATAATAAGTCTTAAATAAAAACGTTTCCTAAATAACTCCATGGTATTTTATAAAAATGCCTTCTTGTTTCTTGAATGTTTTCGTTCCTGTTTTTTTAAATATCTTTCTTTGATATGTGTGTATTTCAGCATAGTAGCATTTATCGTTATTATATTATTTTGATCGTTCTTAACTTTTGTATTGTCACTATGCCTTGTTTTCTCATGCCTACGAACGTAGGGTAGATCTATATAATATAAACAACAATGCACAATTGAGCAACAGACATGTGTATTTGTAGGAAGAGTCTGAAAGGTGTTACTAGTGTCCGACAAAAGGATCCTCTGAAAACGGATGTGTTAGGTTGTTGTTAGACTTAGTGTAACATCAGGTGTAGTGTTAGGGTAAAAAAAATAGGGCCATCGCTGGACTCAGAGTTTCTTCTAGGCATCTCCTCTGGGGGAGGGAGGGGGGAATTCAGAAGAAAGTCTACCCCCCCCCCCTCCCGAACGAAATAGAATTTATATAGAAAACATACATTTACTAGTGTCCGCCTCCCCCCCCCCCCCCTCCCCGGAGAAAAAAGTCTGGAAGAAACACTGGTTGGACTTGTGTTAGGGTTTGGGATAAAACCCACGTTGACATTACCAAGTAGGTATATTGCATGAGTCGGCTTTTTTTTCAGTTTTCCTAACACCTTTTGTTTCAAGGATTCGTTATTCTGGATTATCGGACACTGATAAAACACAAACACCAGGGTCCAATGACGTAGGCAGGTGGGTGATGTAACGCCTCCCCCACCCACTGAGTCCCCAAAGTGACAGACCTCTAACGTCAAGTAATGGCTTTTGTCGATTAACGGCACGCAGGTGTCGGTTCCAACTCTCCCTTTTAAAGAGTCAAATACAGGAATGTATCCGGCATGCAGACTTTTTACGTAACTTTCTCTTAATCTGCAGGAATCTCACATGACCTAAAGTCACGTGGTATAGGACACTCACGTGGTATACACCCATCACGTGCTGAAAAAATATACAATATGTCATTGTTAATTGTACACCAGTTTTAAGCGAGTTACACAACCACTAGTTTGCATTGCAGGTTAGTCGCAGACGGTATAGAAACAAACGGCATATTTCTTCGCCTTGTGACTAGGAGTCTAGCGACAGCTTCCTATTTAACTCTTGATGAACAATCAACTTGTTCATCAAGTTATATGATTTCTTTGTCCATCCTGTGGTCAAGTAGTGGACAGTTTATCACTCCAGGGTGTCCTTTCTATCAGCTTCCTCCATTCTTCTCTTCACATCCTTATTCGGGGTTCTATGATACATTTTTTTCCGTAGGGGGGGGGGGCAGTGTTTCTTCCAGACTTTTTTTCTCCGGGGGGGGGGGAGGGGGGGGGGCGGGGGCACTTGAAATTTTCCGGGGGGGGGGGGGGGCGGTAGACTTTCTTCGGGGGGGGGGGGGGCGGACACTGTTAAAAGAATATATTTTCTTGGAAGAAACTCTGGGGGGGGGGGGGAATTTGAAAATTCCGAGAGCTTTGTTTATGTAAATTTTATTCTTTTTCTATTTCGTGGACGTGCTTCAGTGGGTGAGGGGCGGGGTGAGGATATGACCCCCATAGAGAGATGCCTGTAAGAAACTCTGGTGTTACACCCCCCCCCCCCCCCCCCCATTCTCCGAAGTCGTCTTCCCACCTTTACCGTGTGCCTGGCACTGTTCTGTGTACGAATGTTTACGCAAGTCCAGACGACGTTTTGGCACACCGTTTCAACTTTCTATCTAACACGTTAACACGGTCTACATGTAAAATGGTTACTACTAACCGTTAGGGGTGTCCATGGACCACCACACGCTTGTTAAAAACGATTTTTTTTTACTTTCTCCCACCCCATCGGCACAAAAAGCCAGACCCCCCCCCCCCCCTTTAAAAAAAAAAAGCCACTCCTTAAACCACTACCCTCTCAAAATTGCTTTTTTTTTCAAAACAGTGATTTCTTTCATCAATTTTTTTTTCAATTAAAAAAAAAACCACAACGGGAAATAACAGCTAAAATTCAATATCCAACATCACTTTTTGAAGTGAACCTCCCCCTCCCCCCTGTCACACATCATCCTATCACCTCTCCCCATTCGAATTTGACCTCGTTTATGGACGACTCCTTTTATGTCTGCGGATTTGGTCGATTCAGTATATCGTTATTTAAGTAACTAAAAAAAAATAAATAAATAAAAAAAATAAATAAACGGGACACTCTTTTGTGAAGAGTAGTGAAGACGTAGAAGAAGAGGGTAAAAATCCCCTAGAAAGAATGACGTCATTCATTGTATAAGCTACCATCAGATCGGATTTTTAAAAAAAAAGTTGAAATATTTTGTAAACGCAATAAATCAAAGCTATGCTTTGATGGATTCGCTATCAAAATGTAATTGTTTAGAATTTATACTTTATTTAGTTTTAAATTTAAAATAGCAATTTGCTTTCACACATGCTTAAAAACTCCCCTTCTCTAAGCTTAATTAATCATTTTAATTTAATTTCATTTTAGAAGAAGAAACGTCTCGAATGGGTATGCTAAAAATAACCGGTGGATTTTTGGGAACTCCACTCAACGGCAGCTCTCTCTTCGCTTAGCCTAGATCCGGCAAGTCAACTTTATTTTTAGCACAAGTGGGTGTGCGTGAATCCACCAATCAAACTGCTTTCCACTCTTTACTACCAAGCCAGCTGACCGATCGCATGGTTGAACGGATTCCCCTTATAATGCTTCAACAGGCGGTGTAGTATGTTAATTTTGATAGTGAACCAGTTTGAGTTTTGAGTCGATAAAATGTGATTACGTGAATTTCGATAGGAATTGATTGACTTTCGATATTTAATTTACAAGGCGGTTACATCCTGGAGTTGGAGCACATCTGGCCAGTTTTTTCACTTCAAAGTAAAATAAAAGTAATCTAGATCTATATTTTTTAAAGAAAATAAATAAATCTTTGTTTATTTAAACAACATTTATTGGATTTATTCAGTGGGATGCAGTCGTCCTTCGGTCATCGTATTATAGAAACTGGCAGACATCTAACCAAAAAGTCTAAAAACTGGCACAAACAATGTTATTATTTTTGGCATCATCACTCACTGCTCTCCACATCGGCAGCTGTAACACCGTTGTTGAACAGACGACGTATTCTAACAAATGGTTCAAATGTTTACGGACATATTAAAATTAATACCGTTTCGAATTCTAGAAGTATTGGATCGTTTTCAAATGGAGACATTTCGCATAACTTTACCCAGTCTAGTTCCCGAAATATTTACGGTCAGTCAGAAGGGTAAGCGCAATATTAATATTTTTTTAACAACACTTTAATCCAGACCTAGATCTAGATCTAGAATCTAGAATCTAGATTTTAGATCTAGATCTAGATCTAGTCTAGATTTAGATTCTAGAAATCTAGATCTAGAGTCTAGATCTAGATTAGCCACTGATAAGGCTAGATCTAGAAAATCTAGATTCTAGTTAAAATCTAGATCTAGATATCTAGATCTATATCTCTAGTTCTAGACAATATACTTCAATATACAGATCTATGCCAAGATCTAGATTCTATATCTAGATCTGATCTATAGAGTCTAGTTCATCAGCTTGGCTCTACAACTAGTCTAGACTCTAGATTCCTAGATCTAGATTCTAGCTAGATCTATCTTGATATAGATTCTAGATCTAGAATCTACTTAGATAGATCTAGATGCAGATTCTAGATATAAACAACACAGATGTAAAGATCAAAGAACAAATGTAGGGTCTATCTAGATTTCTAGAATCTACATCTAGATCTAGATTCTACATTTTAAATTTCATTGTTTACAACTCCAGTTAGATTTACTTGATTTGTTTAAGTTACTGTTTAAAAAAATGTTATAATAGATTGACGACAGAAGCCTGTGGTTGTATATAACACATTTAATGGGTCTAACCACCTCATGATGGTAACACCAGAGAGGACGGAAGGAAGTACACAAGGGACATCACTCAAGATAACAATATTATAAATATAACTAATACAGAAGAGTGAGTTCCCTTGACCTCACAATTATTTCAATCTATTACATCCCTTTACCCTTAGAACACAATAACACATCTCTCAATAGAACAATTGATAGTATCCTAAAATCACCAATTATATTGTAACATGAACACTATGGTAGATTACATCCTTACAAACAATGCACACTATGCTACAACATAATCAAAATACAAAACAATGATGTCAAAGTCCTTTTGACCTTTAAAATCATAGGTCTAACTTATTTGGGACTTTGATTGTCCTGTTTGACCTTCTCAGTGGCCTTTGATTTGGTGACTCAATATTCTGACCATTTGGATTCTCTATCTCAGGAGGTCTAGGATTTAAATCATTAACTCCAGAATTTACATTTTCTGACTCCAGACAACTTGGTTCACTCATATCAACAGAACCTGGTTGTGGAACAAACTGAGTTGGTGTGAACTGATCAGATTTGGTGGGATTGACAGATTCACACTTATTATCTGCACAAGTTATTTTTAACTTTATAAGACACAGGTCCTGTACATTGAACAATTTGACCTGGTATCCATTTTTCCTTTCTCCCATAATTTCTTAGATACACATTCTTATTAACACCAAATTCTCCTTCAATGAATGTTTGTCATGATTTAATGGAACTATTTTTGAATTGGCATCTGAAAGTATTAAATGGCAAAACTCTTTTTTCTTTTCTTTTGATGTTACCCTTTTAGTTTCTGTAAGTGCTAATGATGTTAGCAAAGTTGTTTGATGATCACATTCCTTCTTACTAATGTATTTTCTTTAAACATTTGAAATTGCCATATCACCATAATCATTTATTAAGTTACAAATACTTTGTTTAGGCAACTCTGACTGATAATGGACTGCATCTTCTCCATCTTTTATATTATCTTCACAAAGGGTTTTAATTTCTTATTTTATATGGCCTTAAGTCATCATTCACAGACTCTTCAGGCCAACCATTCATACAGTACTCATATACTTTTATTAAGCACTCATCTTTTTGTGTTTCTCTTTTAATATCATTCACATTTATATTGGAGTTATCCATGATAGTGAAGAGAACAAATACATCTTCTGGTACATAGCTCAGGCTCTGGTTTTTTAAAGGTAATCTACTAAGACTATCTGCACTATTATCAGATCCAGGTTTGTATTTCAATTCATAATTGTATGCAGTTAGTGTGATAGCCCATCTTTGAATTCTTGGTGAGGCATGCTCAGGTAGGGTTTTGTTTTCTCCAAATAAACCTAGCAATGGTTTATGATCTGTAAAGATGGTGAACTTCCTACCAAACAGAAACTTATGAAATTTCTTAACACCAAAAATGATGCCTAAGCCTTCCCTATCTAACTGAGAATAATTTTTCTCAGCCTGGTTCAAAGATCTACTGGCAAAAGCAATGGGTCTGTCACCCTTCTCATCCATGTGGGACAAGACTGCTCCTACACCATCTGGTGAAGCATCACATGTTAATATAAGTCTTTTCCCTGGGTCATAGTGAGTTAGTAAGGTGTCAGCAGACAAAGCCTCTTTTGCTGTATTAAAAGCAGCTTCTTGTTGTTTACCCCAGTGCCAAGTTGCATTTTTCTGTAGCAGCTTGTACAGTGGTGATAGTTTACCAGACAGATTTCCTATGAACTTTGCATAGTAATTTATCAAGCCCAAAAAAAGCTCTTAGTTGTTGGGTATTTTCAGGTTTGGGTGCTTCTTTAATGGCTTTTGTTTTCTCAGGTTGAGGTCTGATACCTTGTTTGCTCAATATATAACCAAGAAAACTAATTTCTGTCAGCATGAATTGACATTTATCTTTGTTTATCTTTAAACCTTTTTTACCAACAATTTTCAATACTTTATCAAGTGTTTTAAGATGTTCAGTGTCATTCTTACCAGTTATGTACACATTGTCAAAGTACACACAAACATTTGGAATGTCCTTAAAAATACTGTCCATGACAGCTTGGAAAATTCCAGGGCTAGATGATATGCCAAAACATAGTCTTTCATATTGGTAGAGTCCTTTATGTGTGTTTATTGTCGTATAGACTTTTGAATCTGGATGCAGTTCTAGTTGAGTGTAAGCATGACTAAAGTCTAATTCAGTGAATTTGTCTCCTCCTGCCAAATTCAAAGAAATTTCCTCAATGTTAGGAATAGGGTACCTATTTAGCTCTATTTGCTTATTCAGTGTAGTTTTATAATCTCCACAAATTCTTATAGAACCATCCTTCTTTAACACTGGCACAATGGGTGTCGCCCAATCGGAATAGTCTACCTTCTTTATAATGCCATTAGATTCCAATCTACTTAGCTCATTTTCAATTTTATTCCTCATTGCATAAGGTGGAACTCTAGCTTTGCAGTATCTTGGATTTGTATCTTTAATGCTTAACTTCACTGTTCTATCATTTAGTAAACCTGAGTTACCAAAAACACATTTATTTTCAGATATAACTTTATCTAGTGAAGTAAGACTAGATTCTTTTACATTCTTCAATGAACAAATACTCTCCCAATTTAACTTAAGATCACTTAACCAGTTCCTACCTAGTAATGGCGGTCCATTTCCTTCAACCACAAGAAGAGGAAGTTTAACACTTTGACCATTATAATTTACATGAACCATACACTCTCCTATTACCGGAACATTGTCACCAGTGTACGTTGTTAGACACTTGTGACACGGCTGTAGAGACACTGATCCTCCTGTGACAGCGTCAAAATCTTTCTTTGTGATGACTGTTAGTGATGCTCCAGTGTCAAGTTGGAAGCTTATGCTCTTACCGTTGATATTAACTTGTACATTGATGGGAGCATGACTTATTGATTTCACAGAGAACAGGTTGAAATCCGGCTGCGAATCAGTTTGAGCATTTTCACAGGTAGAGTGGTTCATTGGTTGGGTTAGGTAGTCTTGGTGAGAGTTAACATAGTGCTGCCTTTGGTTGCGGTACTGTCTTGACTGGCTAGATTTAGCAACAGACGAAGACTTTGCAAAGCAGGCCTTGGCAATGTGACCTTGCTTACCGCACTTATAACAAGTTGCTAACTTGAACTTGCACCGATGAGATGCATGGGGACCTTTGCATCGATGACATTTTTGATAATTATTACTAGATTTAGATCTAGGATTTGAACGAGCAGGCTGTTTAGCATAAGTTGGAATGCTCTGATGGGGTTGATGTTTATTGACTAACCTGCTGTTTACTGCATGGATCTCTGAAGGTGCTAAAGATCTCGCCGCATCTGATGACTGCTGGAATGACATTGCAAGTTGTATTGCTTTTTCCAATTTTAGATCTGACTCGAGCAGCAACTTTCTTTGAATATCAGGGCTGTTTACACCTGTCACAAACTTTTCACATAGTCTATCAGACAGCGTTTCTCCAAAATCACAGAATCTACTTAAATGACGTAAAGCAGCAACATATTCTGATATTGACTCGTTTGGTTGACGAGTCCTACTGTCAAATCTAGCTCGACATAGAAACTTTGATGGGGTAGGCGCATGGTGGTCTGTTAGCAATTTGCTCAGCTCGTTAAAGCTCTTGGTAGTTAGACTAGCTGGTGCGCATAAGTCTTTTAGTAGCCTAAATTGTTGAGGCCCTATGACTGTTAACAAAACAGCTCTCTTTTTGGCTTCTATCGTCACGTTGTTAGCTTCTAGGTAAAAGCTTAACCTCTCTAGGTAATCTTGAATGATTTCATCATTCGCATCAAATTCTTTTATTTGGCCATACAGCGCCATAATTCTAGAAATAATTAGCTAATAAGCTCTAGCAAACCTCTTTTTTGCGTAAGTAGGTGCTCTTTCTAGTAGATGTTTATCCTTCGTCGCCAGTTATAATAGATTGACGACAGGAGCCTGTGGTTGTATATAACACATTTAATGGGTCTAACCACCTCATGATGGTAACACCAGAGAGGACGGAAGGAAGTACACAAGGGACATCACTCAAGATAACAATATTATAAATATAACTAATACAGAAGAGTGAGTTCCCTTGACCTCACAATTATTTCAATCTATTACAAATGTAAAGCCTGAAATTTAAAAAAAAAAAATTAGTTCCTGTAAAGATGACACGCCTGAGCTTGTCAATATTTCTATCCTTATGCATTTGCCTACAATGACGCACACATTAAACCACTTCAACTGACTTACCCATAACATTCATAGTAACAGGCCGGACATAAATTGTTTGCTGATCATGTTAGGCCTATCTCCTCAAAATACATGCACTATGTACACGCTAGTTATTTTGTTTAACCTATAGATCTAGTCCCTAAACTAGTATGCTTAAAACAGAAATAAACGAACATATAGGCGTACAATCTTGTAGGTTAAGTTTATTCACGTTCACGTGTAAAGTACACATTTAAAACGGCAATTCACTAAATTTTATATAAGTGTTAGATCTAAATGCAAGTTGTATTTTAAAGTATATGTAACCTTGTATTGACTTCTGACAGAGAACTTATGTTCAACCTCCATGATATTGACTACCACCTTTTCGATTTCCTGTGTGATGACCAGAGAAAACTCTCAATCACCAAATTCCTGCAGGTAAGTAGGTCACTGTGTACTACGTTAAGGTGGGGATGATGCAACCTTTACACTAACATAGCCGGATCCCACACCTCTTTTTTTCAGGACATTCCTTTAGTACAGGTAGAAAACCTATGAACCAGTGGGGGTATAGATCCTTGTTTTGCGTTTCTCAATAGATCTATATCGCATTCAATTTTGTTTTAGTCTTGCCTTAAATTTTTTTATAGATAGAACAGGTTGCTAGTTGTATTATAAAACGTCACGACTACGTGTTTATTATTTAAAAAAATAATTCCCTACACTCATGGGTTATTAATTCAATGAATACCGACGCTCTGTCTTTCTATGATGACACGGCATACACCAGTGTGTTGCTGAGGCTACGTGCGCGTTCAGCCCCTACACAGTCCCCAATCAATATGGGCCTTTATTTTTTCGATTGATCGATGCTAAGGGGGGTGGAGGCGCTGGCTGGTATGTGAATCCTACACAGTTTTACCGTAACCAGCCGTACGTAACAGTTATCACGGCCAGGCGTGGTTAATCAGAGCATTTCAGCAGCGACACAGTCATCTGTGTTGTCTTCCCGTGTTAGCCGGGTCAATGAACTCGAAGGGGCAAAAAAACAAAACAACAGTAGGGTCTACTAAAGTCTTAAAATTATAGAACGGTAACCGACCCCCCCCCCCCCCCCCCCACACACACACACATAGGCTGAGCAGCGAGACCATATTCTAGGCCTACTTTTACTGGTAGATTGTCCGTAGATCTGTTCTGTATGCATTCGCTCCAACTGAGCTGATGCAGCGGGATTACGGATTACAGTAATCCGAAATTCCTAGGTATAACAACAACAACATTTTTTGCAAAACATTTCAAAACTAAAAAAGTCAAGCTTTTTCTACAAATAAGCAACATTCGATAGATCTACTGGGAACTGGATTCTTGTTGTAATGTAGAGATGTTGTATTTATAATTTATAAGACTTGTTAAAAAAAAAGATGTGATTCACACATCCGCTGTTAGCTTTGATTTCCCCGTGTATGTCAACAGTTTGTCAATAACAGCACAACAGAAGTATCAGTGTATTTTATAAGTACCAGTCAGTATGTTTAAAAAAAATCTCTGCTACTTCCTATAAATTCAGTTTAATTAGTAAATCAAGCCTATATTTAAAGATTACCAAACTTTATCTGGATACTTGGCACCATTAAGCTGAAATCCTGCATTTGTTTAGATTAATGGTCTGTTTTCAAGGTGTGGGGTAAGGGGGCGAGGAGTTTTTATGTTTCCCCTTCCTCGAAAAAGTGCATGCATTTGTATCCAGACTAATCTGTTAGACGCAAGGTTTTGCGTGGGCATTTGTTACACAGAAGACCGAGGATCGATATTTTGGTGAATACAAACTCTGCCTGTATTAATTGATTTGAAGTTTATAAGATTGAATGGATTTACTACCATCATAGTGCGTCATTAGTCTCGTGTTACGCGCACCCTTATAGAGACTTTATTCACATTCAGGCGTAACATGTTGCTTTGGCTCTCGCATCTTTAATAAACAGTGTGCCCCCCTCCCCTACTCGAGAAATGACGTAAATGTTGAAGGTTGAAACGTAGATTTTTACCTTTAGGTTACCTCACATCCCCCCCCCCTACACACAATGCTCCCATCCTACACCTTTTTGTTCTCTCGTTTGGTCTGTGTTGTGCTTCCAGTGCACGTTCTAATGTACGAGTTCTAGATCCAACATAGCTTGTCGTGACTTTTTTACCTCTTCATCTTCGGTCAGCGGTGATGGTGTACCATCTCACATTTCGTCAACAATGATGGTATACGGATATCGAGTAAAACTGAGGGTATCCATGTTAAACCATGGAAGGGGTCTCAAAACCCTAATTCTGATCAAGGACCTGACTATTTCACTAATAGAATTAAATGAAACCAACATAAGTTATCTCGATTTGATATTGTATTGATCTCTATGCTTTATAAAATGAGTTGTATTAGAGAATACACAATGGATGTAGGGAAGATAGATTTAAGGAAGTTAACAACTCGGAATAAGAAAACAGAACAAGTTTACTACTATACCAGAAGCTGTGAATCTTATCATGTGTATACTTTGTGTTTCTTTCGTGATTATAATACTTTCTAGATGGTAGACTGCAAATTAAATATAACTAAATATTTATGAATTAATGAACCTTTGGGTCAATTTGCTTAGCCGAGTGATCGCAAGTCGTGGATAGAGTTGACCCCGACTTGTATCGCATGCCATGAACACGCCCGTCTTTATTATGAGCAGTGGCGTAGCGAGGTCGGGTGTCACCCGGTGCGGCACTTAATGGTGTCACCCCCCAGGGGCGTAGCGACCCTTACCGGGGACAAATTTTCGATTTGCACCCCCCCCCCCCCTCAAACTTTCGATTTGCACCCCCCCTCAAGTTTTCGATTTGCACCCCCCCCCTCAAGTTTTCGATTTGCACCCCCCCTCGAGTTTTTCTCTATATATTTTGCTATTTTTTGCCTTGGTGTCACCCCCCTAAATGGTGTCACCCGGTGCGGTCCGCACCCCCCGCCCCCCCTCGCTACGCCCCTGGTTATGAGCACGGCTTCTGTCCCCCAGAACACATCTGATGTTGATCACTTCTTACCACCGAGTGTGTAGTTTATCTTATTCAAAGCTGCTTTTTAAAATCAAACCTGGTTTGTTCAGTTAAACCCATCAAAAGAAATGCAAGCAACTTAACACGCCTCGCTAAATGGGAAAGAAATATCCAAGTCACGTGGCGTATGTATAGACATCCGCACTCTTCACGTTTTCTATTGGATTAGCTAGAGCAGTGAAGAAAGGGTTAATGCTATTCATTGACAGCTGGCTGATGGGGACCCCTTTACGGTTTAATGAAGACGAATTGCTTTTTTTTTTTTTTTTTTTTTTTTTTTTTTTTTTTTTAAGCGCATCTATTTTTATAACTGCTATCAAAACCTTTTGAAACGAGGCATGCATAATACCTGGTTATATTTGAATGTCTGTGACGCGGAATAAAATCACAGCCACTAGTGATGGTCAGGGTGGTTTGATGCAGTGTCGTCGCTATGTCGGGTGTCACCCCACCCCACCTAAAAACAAAGTACACACACACACACACATATATATATATATATATATATATATATATATATATATATATATATATATATATATATATATACATATATATATATATATATATATATATATATATATATATATATATATATATATATATATATATATATATATATATATATATATATACATATATATATATATATATATATATATATATATATATATATATATATATATATATATATATATATATATATATATATAATGTGTGTGTGTCGGCCTACATAGGCCTATAATTTAAATATATGCGGAGATGACTCAAAGAAACTCTGCTTGTCCTTCATGACAAACGGTTTTTAGTCTACATGTACGACCCCTGCACTTAGTTTTCTGAATCCTTGTTCTGATAATGCTCCTTTCAATGACGACAAGCTCGTAAAGTATAATCTAATGTTTTATTTATAAAATATGGCCCAATAAAACCCACTCTGTTCCCGTGTGCCGACAGTTTAACGACGTTTTGTTGAGAGCAGGTTTGAATGTTGGCTGGTTAGGTCACGGGTACCTCTGTCCTCAGTGCTGACGTCACGAGGTGAACTGCTTGTACTGGCCTTTATGCTGGTCACTGTATGAGTGGACATTATCAGATGTTGATAAGAGGGAAAAGAGGGCGCCCAAGACAGACCTGGAGGCGGAGTCTTCTTGAAGAACTGAAGCCAACAGGGATGTCTTGGGAGATGACAAAATTAATAGTCGGGGATAGGAAGAAATGGAAGGAAATGGTGGAGGCCCTATGTTCCATAAGGAGCAAAGAGGACTAAGTCAAACAACTATGGGTGGACACTATCAGATGTTGATAAATTATGGGATGTAGCTGGCACAAATATTGTGTAGTGTATCATATGACGGGTTCTCAAACAATTTTTGGTGTCTCCCAAATTGTGATTACATTAGAAAAAGATACACGTAGAAGCTAAAATTTAGTATAATCTTTTCCAGCCTGTACCTAAAACTCATGGGGTAGATGAATTAGAATTCATCTGATTCGGTGACCTCGGCATACTAGGGATTGTGTGGTCAGCACTAATCCCATCAGGGACGTCCTACAGACTCTCGAACCCTTGATCCGAACTCGAGACTTTCTAGTTTAGCAGAAGTAAGCTCCTACTTTCGCTCCTACATTCGAACACGCCGTCCCATAAAGTTTACCATGCATAGACTAAACCAAGTTATATAACTTGCTGTATTTATTCCTATCCCATATTGACAGAAAGCTTTTAAAAAATAATCCCTTGTTAACTCGGTATAAAGTAAAAAACCACACGAAGCCCACAAAGGGTTATTCAACTTTTGTTTCTTGTACGACCTTGCATGGCCCTAGTGGGTTTATGGCTTCTTATGAAAGTGTATCAGTAAGTCAAATATCTTTTATCTTTATTGCACTTTAAATGTAAATTCATGGCTTGAATCGTAAAAATCCACTTTTAAAAAGGAAGCATACATTTGCTAAATGTAACATTACATGAAAAAAGAATAGAAGAAAAATATGAATAAAGTGAACAGATTTGATGTCGTGGAAATAAAATCGTATGGACGTTTGCATGAAATGGCTTTGGCAGGTGCCTCCAATGTCGAGTGATATGGGCATGTTATGTCATGATTGTGATTTACTTATGATGTCATCAGTGTGGCTAAACATTTTTGTGTTTACATATTTTTGTTGTTGTCACGATTTATTGTAATTTTATCATTTGGTGGGGTTTATTTTCTGCCATCTTAAAACTGAACTTTTGTTAATGTATTCTAAGGGCCCGGTTAAAAGTTTCAGATCATGGGTCTCAGGCAAGATGTGTCCATGCTTGCCTCTTGTATGAAGTATCGCCAAGCCTTTAAAGTACA